TTGGGGGGCTTGGGGGATTCCAGTTCGCCTTAGGGTTTGGCCAGATGTGGCCTAGTTATCTCGAGGGGATGGGTGCACTTGCTGGAGGTTAGACTAGGCCTATGTTAATCTAGGACTGCAAGAAGAGGTGGAACATGCCATGGCTGGTTGTGGTGGGGTCCCCCGCTGATTTAAGGAGTAATACAGCGGGGTTGTGGCGGGAGTATGTCGTTACCAATTGAGTTTGAGGGGTTACGTTTAAGAATATGGAATGAGATGAACACGTTTTTAAGGTCTCAACCTCCCTTGCTTCAAACGGTTAACATTAGGTTGCCTGAGGTGTCGTGCCCATCGAGCGTGGATAAGGTCGGCTGATGGCGGGCATTGGAAAGATATGATTTTTATGATGAGGGGGGAGGTGAGAGAAAGTGGTGATTAGGAACCACTGTATGTTTATTGGCAAGGACGGTTGGGTCACTGTATAACACTATGTGTGGAGTTATATATGTATATATGTTAATTTATGCTTATTTATGTCTAACGTTTTGGTTACAGAAAAAGAAGAGATTTAATAAATAAAGTTATGGATGTGTTATGCAGTCATTTAGTTTGTGATAATAAATGCTGTGGCCTGTTTCATCCATACAAAGTGGTCTGTCGTTATTGGGGGGTTGAATGGGGTTAGTTTTTGTTCTAGGCTGCATCGTGATTCCCCACTATGTACATACATGGTGCATAGACTGGCCCTTCAACCTTTCCCCTGAGGCTAGCATTCACAGAGACTCATCAGAGGCAGATTTATTCAATGTAAAAGACTTGGCTTTCTGGAGAGATTATGGCATGCTTTGATCCAGACTGGATGAACCTGTTTTGCAGATTCTAGTTAAACTTGTCAGCTGACAAGTGTTTTATGTAACTGACGCTTGACAAACCCTGAAGCTTTAATCATCATTGTTCTATAATTAATGGAATGATTTGTAACAATTTGTGTTCACAATATTTATCCTGTCCTCTATTCCTGAAGGGAATAGTTAAAGAAATAAATAAATAATTTCTTAATAATTTCATGGTGTGTCAATCTTAAACACAAGAGAGATTATTTAGAACATTTAAAAGACCACTTTCACCCACATGACAGCTTAACGATATTTAGCTTGTTATGGGGACTGGAGTGTCTGGGCTCATGCTTACTGTTAGGGTTAAACCATTAGTCAATGGGTTAATGTTTGGCATGTCACCTCTTTCTCTCGGGTTCTGCTCATCTCCGCAGTACGGTGTGAGGAAGGAGTATCTGGGCGCATGCTTACCACCAGGGGTTAAATCATTAGTCAATGGTTTAATGCAGTGGCGTACACACGATTCATGGGGCCCTGGTGTGAAAACTGATCCGTGGGCCCCCCTCCTGGTGGTTACACCGCGAGGGCCGGGGCTTCAACACATGGTAGCTGGCACCCGGTCGCAGAGGTCCACAGGGCTGCCGGGGGCCCTGGAGTGATGGGCCCGGTTGCAAGCTGCAACCCCTGCGATCCCTGTATGTACACCCCTGTACACACGTATACATACACACTACCTGACACATACATACAACACATATACATACAAACACACACAGACAGAGACATATATATACAGACACACACATCATTATTATTATTTATATAGCGCCACAGTGCTTTACAGTGGGTGGACGAACAAACATGTAGTTGTAACCAGACACGTAGGACACACAGGACCAGAGGAGTTGAGGGCCCTGCTCAATGAGCTTACATGTCATAGGGAGTGGGGTAAAGTGACACAAAAGGTAAGGATAGTATTAGACTAATGACAGTTGCAAGAGAGGAACTTATATACTTGTGTATTAGGGAGGATAGATAGGTGGGAGCAGCATTATGTAGAGATTTGAAAGCAAGAACCAGAATTTTAAATTGAATCCTATATCTTACAGGAAGACAATGTAGGGACTGACAGAAGGGTGAGGCGTGGGATGTGTGGGCGGACCGGAAGATGAGCCTCGCCGCCACATTCATTATGGATGGTAACGGTGCAAGTTGGGAAAACATAAGACCACTGAGAAGTGGATTACAGTAGTCAAGACGAGAGAGGACAGTGGAATGGGCCAGCACCTTAGTCGCATCTGGTGTCAAGTAGGGTCGGATGCACGCAATGTTTTTGAGATGGAAGCGGCAGGATTTGGAGCCAGATTGAACATGAGGCATGAAGGAGAGGTCGGAGTCAAAGAGAACACCTAGGCAGCGAGCCTGCGTGGTGGAGCTGATGGTAGCAGCACTTGAGGGAGGAAAGACCAGAATTTCAGTTTTGGTCAAGTTGAGTTTAAGGAAGTGGGCAGCCATCCAGTTAGAAATAGCATTGAGGCACTAGTCCAGAGCGAGAGGACAGATAGATTTGTGTGTCATCCGCATAGAAATGATATTGGAAACCGAAGGAGCTAATGAGTTTACCAAGGGAGGCAGTATAGATGAAGAACAGTAGGGGACCCAGGAGTTGGGGAGAAGAAGCAGAGCCAGAGAAAGAAACACTGAAAGAGCACTGGGAGAGGTAGGAGGAGCACCAGGCGAGAGCAATACCATGTAGACTGATATTGCGGAGGATGAGAAGAAGCTGTTGATGATCAACAGTGTCAAAAGCTGCAGAAAGGTCAAGGAGAATTAGGATAGAGTAATGACCACGAGATGCAGGAGGGTTACTTCCCTGGAGTCCAGTGGTGGCTCAGCCTGATGGGAGTCAGAGTTCCCACTCTGACTCTCTCCTCTCTTCCTCCCACGCGTCTCCTGTTGTAAGCTGGGAGGAGTGATGGGGCTGTCAGTTCCTCCCAGCTGTGATGTCAACAAAGGGGGCCAGTCACGCTGTTAATGGGCTACAGTGCTAATCGGGCCACCTGTAAATCCATAGCCATCAGGTGGCCCTAACAACATGGGCTACCCGATGGACTCCTTAATGTGTGGCCCAGCATTTATACCACGCGGGCCTAGGCCGCAACACATGGCGGTGGGCTCCCAGTAGCAAGAGTATACAGGGTGGCTTGCCCCCTGGAGTGACAGGCCCACTCGCAGCTGTGACACCTGCGACCACAGTATATATGGCACTGGCACCTCTTCCTTACGAGTTCTGCTCTTCACTGCAGTACGGTGTGAGGAAGGAGTATCTGGGTGCATTCTTACCATTAGGGGTTAAATAATTTGTCAATTGGTTAATATTTAGCAGACACCTTTTCACTCTCCGCAATATGGTGTGCGGAAGGAGTATCAGGGCGCATTCTTACCATCAGGGGTTAAATAATTTGTCAATTGGTTAATATTTAGCAGACACCTTTTCACTCTCCGCAATATGGTGTGCGGAAGGAGTATCAGGGCGCATTCTTACCGTCAGGGGTTAAATCATTTGTCAATTGGTTAATGTTTAGCAGACACCTGTCATATTGTGCCAAGATCACCTGAGAAAAAAATAACCCACATAGAATATATATATAGATTTTTATTAATGTATTTTTTTAATGTATTGTTTTATTATTAGGTTATTGGCGGTGTAGGGAACTAGAGTGAGCTGCTCAGTTAGTGTGGTTCTAGGTGCTAATATGGCTAAATATGAATAATTACAATGATTATAGAACTTTATAAAGAATAGCAGCTTTCTAAAAGTGAAACATTTATGCTGTACTTTATCGCCACCTGCCAGTCCCATTTCATGATTGCACCTATGCATTGCAGCTACAGCTTCATAGTTTGGTAAGTGCAACAAAGCTCTCACAATGTAACATAAAGCAAGTTACGACACAATTACATATTTTATCACAGGGCACATTGTAGTGTTTGCAAAAGTTACTGAGCCAAACAAAGTAATGTGACTGCATGTTCGTCAGTTGTGACTCATGAAATGATTGATCCAAATATATTCTGACTGTTTCTCCACAGAACACACATTTATATTTTTAGATAAGCTTTTTCTAATTAATAAATATTTTAATATTTTAGTATTTTGATATCTTTGGAATATTGGTAGATTTTTGATTTGTGGACACATTTTTGGATATTTTAATATTGTGAATAAATATTTTAATATTTTCTAAAAATATTAAATAATTAGAAAAAAAAATAATCCTAAAATATTTAAGAAAAGAGTCGAGGCCATGCACAGACGGAGTTCAATATTCAGGGTGTTTGAAGATAGGATCATGCGTTTAGCTTTCATTGTCCCTGTCACTGTGACTGGCCTCCAATCAAATGCTCTTTCCAAATTTACTGACCCACAAGACTGGGGATTGTTAGGACTGCTATTCCCTTTCCCCACAGTCGGTATACCTGCAAGCTGACTCATTAAACTGACCACTCACAAATTGTATTATCAAAAATAAATTTAGTGTCATGCTAAATCTCTACGCTCTTTTTCAAAATGTAAAAAATATTCTAGGAATAAAGTAGGTTCAGGAGTGAAGCAGGTTCTATGAATAAATCAGGTTCTAGTAATGGAGCAGGTTCTATGAATAAATCAGGTTCTAGTAATGGAGCAGGTTCTATGAATAAATCAGGTTCTAGTAATGGAGCAGGTTCTATGAATAAATCAGGTTCTAGTAATGGAGCAGGTTCAATGAATCATTCCCATGTAAATACCCAATGTAAGATCTCAGCAGATAGAGGTTGCTAATGAGAAGTCCCTGACAGCACACCTCTTTAGGAAATCCCACCCTCTTCATGTGTGAGACTTCTCTTATTATAATTGCCCTACTCACTTAACTTGCCACCATAGCCTGTCTCCCTCTCTCTCTCTCTGCCAATGGTCGATTCTTCCATGCATCACGTTTATATGTCTTATTGCAACACGAGTATCATATCCATCAGTCCCTACCCCCTCGGACATGCTGCTGTTTCTCTTGTATGTTCTAAGCGGTGCCTTCTTCACCTCGTCTCTGTTACAATCTGCACTTGAATTACTTGTCAAATATCCCCATTTTATAATTGTAATGCTAAATATTGTGGCTATATTAGTAATAATAATAATAATAATAATTAGAGTAAAGAGAAACTGTTTTATTTTGTGAACAAATAATAACAATTCAATCAAGAGTTTCAGTAGTTACTGAAATTTGCATAATAATGGCATTGATTAAAAAGCAAAGTTTTTAATTTCATAAAATAAGAATTGCAAAAAGAAAGGGAAAAGAAGTAACATTTAACCATAAGTGCATGAACAGTCCGAGCCTCTCCATACGAACAGGGCCGCTACCAGCACCCTCAGACAGCCATTCTTGGAGGGGGTTTGACAGTTAGTGGGAGCTGGGATCTAAAATGCTATATATACATTCCAAAAGAATCCATGGCACGATATCAGCCTCGTGGACTTCACAGCTCACTGTGGGAAAATAACAAAGAGAATGTGAGATAAATGACCACGTCTTCTCACTAATCCCTAAAGCATCCTATGGATAGGTAAGGATACATTTCCCAATAAATCCCCAATTGTGGACAACTTACAAATAAATTGTGTATTTCCAACCAAAGTAGCTGAACTGAAAAAATGTATCTCAGATGATATTTGTATTCCAGTTTAGCTCTTACAAATTCTAGACATTTCACAGTGGATACATGATTAGAACCAAGAGAGTGGGAACTTCTCTGGTATACGTGTAAACTGCGCAAAGCAAGTATACACCCAATGTTGTAATGAATGATCCAAAGAAATATAATTGCGGGGAGAAAATATATGTATACACTTAATATAGGGTGTCTGTGAACAGTGTGAAAGAGGTGCCTTATAATGCTGCTCCTTTAGAAGAAAGTATCCCTACGCTTTCTAATACAAGACAAAGTAACACTGAAAATGGATAAGGTAGCGCAAAAAATACAGTCTAATCACATGTTGATAATAAACATATAACAATTGTACAAATAATAATTATTGCTATACTGAGTGTGCACACTACTAAGTAATATAGCAAAAAAAAGGGAGACTGTCATTTAATGAAATACAGGTAAAATAGAAATATACCATAAAAAATACAATAAAAAAATATGGAAAAAATAAAAAAAATAAAAATGAGAAGTGGAATGGCAGAAAAAAACAGAGTATTAAAAAAAAAAAAAAAAAAGAAAGAAAAGGAGGGGGTGAAGGGGTGGAGATACAAATATCCATCTCACTATCTATCCCAGCTGTTCATATAATGGTTAATTTAAACTTAAAATTGTATCTTCGATTCTGGGAAGAATTTATCTAATATCATTTACGAGAATGACAATACTGATTTTGAATTGTTTTTGTTAATTGTCCAAGATTTTGGTATTTGTAAATATCTGTTTTTTTTATCAAATATACGTGTGTTATATAATGTAGGATAACGAGAAACAGCTGCTCATAACTTGTGAAAAACAATCTATGTCATTGTCATCATTGTCACGCCCATATGCTAATTTTTCCCCCCTCCCATCCTGCTATGAAAATGGGGTATAAATATAACTTGCGTAATAAAGGAATTTGAATTGGTTATTGAACATGTCTCTGCTATTAATTTCCAATTTCCAGAGCTCTGAATGAGTTGGCAAATATCCATCATCCACAAAGGGCCCGGGCTGATTTTATCCCCAACAGGGGGGAAAGGGGGGAAGTCCAACCTTGTATAGGTTGGGGATGGGTTTGTGCTGACATCCTTCTGATTACATATGAAGAGAGTAAGGTCTGCTGCGGCGCTGAGTATTGAAGCTGTTACTGCTACAAACTATCCAAATAGTAAGTTCTGCTGGTTGACTGCCAGGGAGTCCCGTTGTGCAGCTGTACAGGGTACTGGAGAAAAATTCCTTTTCCCCCTGTGGCTGTCTTGCTACGTGGGGGGTCTCCTTTATTTGTAGCTGCCGGAGCTGAGCTTAGTCTGCCGACAGAATATGTTGCGGCCGCTCACATAGAAAGTGAAAGTAATTGCGTCCGCTCGTAATTAATAAATGTGGTCGCTCTTGATGAATCTGTGTGACGTCTGGTCTGGTCCCAATCTTCTCCGTCGATCCTACATGTTTCGTGAGCCTGCACTCACTTCTTCAGGGATGATAACGGAGTATGGGATATTGAAAAGGATCTATTATTTAGGCATGCAGTCCCAATTAACAGCACATTCCGATTACACAGAGGATATAGAATATATATAATTCTGCAATACATTTCCTTCTTTTAGAATGAATTTAACACATGTTGCAGAAAGTAATATAAAAGCATTACATACATTTTTTATGGTATATTTCTCTTTTACCTTATATTTAATTAATTGACAGTCTCCATTTTTTTGCTACATTACTTAGTAGTGTGCACACTCAGTATAGCAATAATTATTATTGCACAAGGTTTTTTTGTCGTTGTATTTTAAATATATTTTTAGACTTCATATAAGATTCAATAAATGTTTATATGTTCAGTGTTACTTCACAATGGATACAGTCTGCAGACAGACACAGAGGCTGGGACGCGCTTCTAAAGAAACGTCTGGGCACACAAATGGGAAAAGATTTGATGAGGAGTTGAAACATTGTCCGATAGCTTGGTGCCATTGAAGCTGCTAACTCTACGACTCACTTGGCTGGACTTATCTCTGGCAGCGTTGGTTATCAGGACTAGTGCTGTATTTTTTGCGTACAGTTCCCTTGTATCTGTTCAATAGACGCTGAACTACAAACAGGTTAAAATATCACTTTAAATCACTAACCAGCTGAGCACCATGAACTAATGCAGCATACAGGCAGTTTTTTATACTCTGTGTCGTAATGTTTATTTCTAACAGGTTTGTCTTTGTCACTACTAGGCAGCAGCCAGTGTGCCAGACGGTAGAAAACATTTTGAGTGAGAGAAGCATTAATTAATTGGTAAAAATGCTGCAAAACCAGTGAAATGATGATAAAAAATATTAACAAAAGTAGAGTTTAAAAAAACAGCCATTCTCGGGCCATATTCGTAAAGTGGAGCAGTTGCCATGGAAACCAATGGAATAATCATGCTCATTGCTCTACATTTAAAGCCGCCCCTCCAGTTGTTTTATTTTTTTGTCCTTCGTCACCGAATTAATGTCAGTTTTTCAGGCATGCATAAACACAAAACATTTATAAAAGTTTACGATTTAGTGTTTTCAACTTTTTGGGAGAATCTTCACTGAACTGGACATTATGGAGAATTGACAGAGTATTTCATTAAATGGCTGATTAGGGAAATGTAATGTCTTTTCCTAATTAAGTTATTTTGGTGTAACTTTTACAACGGCTCTGTCAATTCTCCGCATTTTCCAGTTTCCATGTCTCTGTTCAGCCAGACTGCAGATCATGTCAGATTTCGATGTCACCTACCATCTGGAGAAATCCTGCGAAGCCCAGGATGCTACAAATTTAGCCACAAGAGTTATGGATTTTCCTCCCGGTTCTTGCAGGTCATCAAACTTCTGCCTGTTGAAGTTCCCACAAGCTCCGCAGAGAGCCCCTGCTAGGTTCTCATTCACACGCAGAGTTAATTCTCCATTCCTATTCACGATAAGCTCCATCATGTTGCTACGTCTCAATACCAGCGTTTCCCCTTCGGAATGTATTGACAGAGATCCGTTATCCTGAAATGGAAGTTTAACTGCTCTCCCATCAACCTGTAATAAAAACAATAAAATGATAATTAGGAATCACAAGTCTAAATTAGGGATAATCAATACAGGCTCCATAATGAACCAACATAATCAATAATTCGATGTATACAGAGTATACAGAGTGTTACAGAGGTTTTGCTTAGAAAATACAAAATTAGAATACTGACAAAGAAATTGAACATTTAAATGTAACTTTTTTTTAAAATCCAGTTTGAGAGTTTTTGCTAATTATTTTAGAAAAGCATTTTTAATTCCCCAGTTGCCCCAGTTGTGTTTTTGAGGCTACAAATTGAATTGTAATGCACAACATATTGCTTCATGAGATATTGGTCCATCTTTCTTACCCAGGCCTTGCCAAACTGGTTGATTGCAATGGAGACACCCACAAAATAGGCATGGACGGCTGAAACATGGAGATTTGTGTCGCTCTGGCAGCTCTCTGTGATGGCGACCAGTCTGAACCAGGCATCGTGGCTGGGGTCACACACAGCTGCAAGGTCGAAAGTGATTCCAGGAAAAACAGGGGCAAGTAATTTGTCGAAGGTCATTAGGTTGCCATTGGCACTGAGTGTACATGAACCCTGCTTCTTAATGCATCCTCTCGCCCCATTCTCAAGCCCACAGAACTCTTCATCTGAGCATGTGAGGTTACTGCAAGAGACAGAGCCACCAGTCTCACACAGACACACCTCGGAGCAATCATGGGAAAGGAGAGACGACCCCAGCTGCAAAACACAATAGAAAAAGGAATATATGAATGGATCAATAAATACATGTCACTTCCTTCAAATAAATCTATGTGTTTCACCTTATATTAAACAGAAACTGTTGGCCATTTATTTTAACCCCTATTATCCATCAATCATTATTATATATCTGTCTTTCTATCCATGTATGTTTTTGCCTTTCTATATCTGTTTGTCTATGTTTCTATCTGTAGTTATTGCGTTTTTTCTGTTTGTTTACTCTTTACTATCTATTTATGTCCTCTGTCTGCTTTATTTAAGAGAAGAGTTGACATAATAATATTAAACAGTGTATCCAATACCTTGTTATAATTTAATGTAATCAAGTTAGAATTCATTTTACCAAACTTACTGCTTTTGTTTAATAAGACCTCTTGATGCCTTATTTACATTTACTCCATAGCTCACAAAATGTGATCTATTTTTATTCTAATCTAAACTTTGACATCAGGACAGGGGAGCACCAAACACATGGTCACTTAAGCACCAACGCGATTGACTAAAAGAAACCGATAAAAGTCGCGAAGGAAACTCACCAGAAAATAAGTATATTTGAGATAAACTGCTGTACTATAATTATATTATAAGTAAATTTCTGGGGGGGGGTGGGGACAAAACATTGTCTATACACAGGTGGCCAGAATGAATTTAGTTCTACAGCTCTACCAGAATGCCATTTAAAATATGGAAATAAACACCAATAGGGCTGCAATGCTCCCTTTGCAATGGCAAACAATTTTGACAGTATTTGTTGATGTAGCACAGAATAGTATTTGAATTAGTACTCTAATGGGATTTGTTTCACTCTTTGTATGCACCATACACTACAACTCACTATGTGACAAAACACAGGGTTTTCCTCAGCACTCACTTAAGTTACGTGAAAGCTAATACAAAAAGATCACTCTAAATTATCTTTAAATATAAATACTCGAATATCTTTCAAAATATCTGGTTGTTTTAAAAAAATGTCTGAAATATTTGATATGGGGGGAAAAGAGCCCTAATTAAACTACTGTACAAAATATACACACGCAATACATGACTTACCTTTAAATATCTCCCATTGTACACACATCCACATGTGTCCATTTCCACACAATGGCTGCCATCAAACTGGTAACCGTCATCGCACACGCAGCCCTCGTAGCAGGCGTCAGAGCAGAAGGAGGGTGCGGTGATCCCATAGCATGTCATGTCACATGTGCGAGCACAAACATCATAATGACTGTTCTTCGGACAAGACATGGCTAAATGAGAAATTAGAAAAGCAAGACGGTTAAGTATGTTATCGTATAAACTTGTCCATATATGGTGGGAAAAAAAGCTGTAGTTATTATAAACTATTTTAGTTTGTGTGGTTCTGCAATTCAAGTATAATTGTAATCTTCATGTATGGAAAAAATAAAGAACTTGAACCATCTGCTTGCCTATCTATTATTAATTTATCCATCTACATTTCTATCTATCTGTTTACCTATTTTTGTCTATTATAATAAAGTGGATATAGGAATCTTACAGCAGAAGGTTGAGGTTCGCCATGGTTTAATCTTTGCCCCAGCGTCTTGGCAAGCAACGGTGTACGCCTGAAGAATATCACAAAGGGTTTCCTTCTGTCCATCAGAGGTGCACATATCCAGCAAACAATTGTTGAAGTAGTAAGTGGCATTCACTAGATATTTGCATTCTGCAAATGGCCCATCTTCGAGTAGAAATAGACCGCATGCCTCATCTCGTGCAAATATGGTGGCCCTCAGTGGATCACAGCTGTTACAGTTCTCCTGGCAGCCGTTAACACACCCGTCAGAGTTTGTACTCCAGGCCGCACCAAATTCCTCTAAGTTATTAGACAACACGCCACTTGGTAAACGGAATTCATCGTTATTTTGGTCATTGAAATCACCACACAGACCACAGGTGGCTCCCTGGTAAGCTCCAGGGACTGTGATTTTAACCAAATTCATAGAATCATAGAGGACAGCCACCTCAAAATCTGTCAGCAGCTTTATATTGGAACCCTCTTGTGAGATCAGAACTTTACCATTCTCCAAATTAAGAGGCAACGAGTGATCTTCCCCATGGATCTGTAATGAGAATAGTAAAAACATTTGTTTAATTATAGGTGAAATTTTTTTAATTCTTCACTTGTTAATGGTGTAACTGCAGTAGCACAAGACACCCTGTATACCTTTTAACCATTTAATAAACCCCATGATATTATTTTTCAGTCATTTATAGAAAAACATATCTTGAAAAGTAATCTATGATAATGTCATTTTGAAAGTAAAACTGCCTAAACATTAGTCAAAGAAAATGTTTTCTCTACAACTGGAACTTACTTGTACTTTCCAGTATGTTCCTTGTTTCATGATAATTTCATATTCATACACGTTCACCTTTAACGACCTAATTCTTTCCATTTTATCTTTCCCGATGCTATTATTCTCCAGAATTACAGAGAAGTTTCCTAGCCCTGGCTCCTTCTTGCAGACGTTGGCCAGAGTGTAGGAGCAAGTGCCGTAGAAGTTATAGTCAAGACCATCGAAAGAGAGATAGTGTTTGTTGGCAGACACCACACATGTTCCTTCTTTTTTAGAAAAGCAGCCACGGACTCCATTCACCACGTTACATTCTTCATCTGGACCACAAGACATGTCCTGGCAGATGACATTTCCATTGTCCATACACTGGCAGCTCGTCTTGCATTGTCCTTCAGGATAAAACACCTGCCCATTTTTATAATATTGGCCTTGGAATAGACAGCCGCACCGAGATATAGGGACACATGTGTCTGCACTGAGCAGGAATCCGCTGTCACAGTAGCACCCTTCCATGCATGACTTAGCACAATCCACCGAAGTGGACAGGCCAGCACATGTAGGATGGCATCCAGTTCCACACAGCTCATAGTGACTATTCACAGAACAGGACATATCTACCAGAAAGAGGAAAATCACTATTACATAGATACACGGTATACACGACTTTTCAAATATAAAATATGCAAATTGAATTATCAACTAAAGATTTGGTTCATCATCTGTGGAAAAATGTCACGTTGGCTTTTTTATTGTTGGTTTTATCCCAGAATATTTTAATGCCACATCTATTATCACATTTATTCTGTGATGTGCATTCTGTGACTGTGTGCAGATCAGCTTTAAATCTCTGCCCAAGTGATTGCGCAAAATCACAACGCATACGTTTCTAAAACAATGGTCTCGACTTAACTCTTTAGAATCAGAAGTCATTCCATCCAATTAGGAAAAAAAACTATAATTTATCTACAAAAATTCCCATAAACATTAATGGTGAGTTCTGTAAATAAAATGTTTGAAAAGTTGTTTTGTTTTAAGAGAATTGAATAATTTCTGATACAGATTCAAATAAATTAAAGCAAGGCCCTTGTGAGAAAACAATCAACACCTGTGACAGTCAGTGTGAAGAACACAACGTTTTAAATATACAGGATAAATACAGATATAAACAAACTCCAACACAGTGACAGAGTTAGAAAGAGAGTTTTATGATGTACATTTATTAATCTTTCCACATGGTAGCTGCAGACAGCAACATTGTCAGGCTGGAGGCCAATTTCCTTGAAATCAGCAAGGGAGAGGCAAATCGGAAATAAAAAGTAAAATAAATATTATGGTACATTGCACTGTCTGTTTTCACCTGAACTGCAAGAAACCACAAACCTGAAATCAACTCATTGTGGTGACAAACCTGAGATCATCTCATAATGGCAACAAACCTGAGAACAACTCATTGTGGTGACAAACCTGAGATCATCTCATTATGGCGACAAACCTGAGAACAACTCATTGTGGTGACAAACCTGAGATCATCTCATTATGGCGACAAACCTGAGAACAACCCATTGTGGTGACAAACCCTGAGAACAACTCATTATGGCGACACACCTGAGAACATATCATTATGGCGACAAACCTGAGATCAACTCATTATGGCGACAAACCTGAGAACATCTCATTATGGCGACAAACCTGAGATCATCTCATTATGGCGACAAACCTGAGAACATCTCATTATGGTGACACACCTGAGAACATATCATTATGGCGACAAACCTGAGATCATCTCATTATGGCGACAAACCTGAGAACAACTCATTGTGGTGACAAACCTGAGATCATCTCATTATGGCGACAAACCTGAGATCATCTCATTATGGCGACAAACCTGAGAACATCTCATTATGGTGACACACCTGAGAACATCTCATTATGGCGACAAACCTGAGATCATCTCATTATGGCGACAAACCTGAGAACAACTCATTGTGGTGACAAACCTGAGATCATCTCATTATGGCGACAAACCTGAGAACAACCCATTGTGGTGACAAACCCTGAGAACAACTCATTATGGCGACACACCTGAGAACATATCATTATGGCGACAAACCTGAGATCAACTCATTATGGCGACAAACCTGAGAACATCTCATTATGGCGACAAACCTGAGAACAACCCATTGTGGTGACAAACCCTGAGAACAACTCATTATGGCGACACACCTGAGAACATATCATTATGGCGACAAACCTGAGATCAACTCATTATGGCGACAAACCTGAGAACATCTCATTATGGCGACAAACCTGAGATCATCTCATTATGGCGACAAACCTGAGAACATCTCATTATGGTGACAAACCTGAGATCATCTCATTATGGCGACAAACCTGAGAACAACTCATTGTGGTGACAAACCCTGAGATCATCTCATAATGGCAACAAACCTGAGAACAACTAATTGTGGTGACAAACCCAGAGATCAACTCATTATGGCGACAAACCTGAGATCAACTCATTATGGCAACAAACCTGAGAACAACTCATTATGGCAAAAAACCTGAGAACATCTCATTATGGCGACAAACCTGAGATCAACTCATTATGGCGACAAACCTGAGAACATCTCATTATGGCGACAAACCTGAGATCAACTCATTATGGCAACAAACCTGAGAACAACTCATTATGGCGACAAACCTGAGAACATCTCATTATGGCGACAAACCTGAGATCAACTCATTATGGCAACAAACCTGAGAACAACTCATTGTGGTGACAAACCCTGTGATCATCTCATTATGGCAACAGAGGAATACCATCGCTCACTTTAAAAGCCAGTCAGGCAGAATTTTTAAATCTGAATTTTCTTTTGGAAATTTTTTTTATTTTTTTTATTTGATGACATTCTTATGGGGAGTTTTGTGTATTTATAGCTTTCTATGAAAATCATTAATATCACACTAATATAGTGCTTTGTCTTTGCTTACAACAGATTGAACTATTTGAGACACAATATGCTCAGATCTAAGAAATACTTACAAACAATCCCGACGTACACTCGATGGAACTCTGCTTGTAGATAACATTCCCAGCTACAGGTTAAGGGAACATCCATCCCAAAATGTTTTAGGTTAAGTCATTTATAATAATTACCATGTGGATACAGATTACACAGGTATTAACAGAGCTTAAAGGGACACTATAGTCACCTGAACAACTTTAGCTTAATGAAGCAGTTTTGGTGTATAGAACATGCCCCTGCAGCCTCACTGCTCAATCCTCTGCCATTTAAGAGTTAAATCCCTTTGTTTATGAACCCTAGTCACACCTCCCTGCATGTGACTTGCACAGCCTTCCATAAATACTTCCTGTAAAGAGAGCCCTATTTAGGCTTTCTTTATTGCAAGTTCTGATTAATTAAGATTTTCTTATCCCCTGCTATGTTAATAGCTTGCTAGACCCTGCAAGAGCCTCCTGTATGTGATTAAAGTTCAATTTAGAGATTGAGATACAATTATTTAAGGTAAATTACATCTGTTTGAAAGTAAAACCAGTTTTTTTTTCATGCAGGCTCTGTCAGTCATAGCCAGGGGAGGTGTGGCTTGGGCTGCATAAACAGAAACAAAGTGATTTAACTCCTAAATGACAGTGAATTGAGCAGTGAAATTGCAGGGGAATAATCTATACACTAAAACTGCTTTATTTAGCTAAATTAACAAGTTAACAGAGCTATTTGTAAACATATTTTCTATGAATTCAGATGGATTCCAGTGAGGTATATGACTGAGGAGGTCTGAGATGGGATCATTTTTGTTTTTACAATTTACCTCATTAGAAATGGTTTCACTAATAATTTCTGCTCCTTGGGAATTAAACGAGAAATGTAATATGAGTCACTTACTGCAGAATGTCGATGTCCTCCAAGATTCAATCTTGATCCCCTTGCTCTGGCACTCCAAAACATAACTAGCAATGGCACCACAGGTTACTGCATAATAACCTTGGTATTGGCAGCTGTCATACACACAATCATCAAAGAAGGGCGATGGGTCAACCACAGTAAAGCATTGTCTAAGTGGTCCTTTCACATTGTTAAGAATTCCACAGTACATCTCGCCCTTGTATTTATCGATTTTATCTTCATCACACGTGGGGCAATCTTCTTTACAGTCTCCTGTACAGCCAGGAGTTTCCTCCACCTTATACCGATCTTCAAACCTAATATTGTCAGCTACCTGGTTATCATCTGCTGGTGTCAGGTCATCTTTAGGATCATTGTTGTAGTTTCCACAAAGACCACACAAGGAACCCGCATAGGTACTGGGCACCATAACGCGGGCATAATTATCCCAGTTATAATTCATGGTGACATCAAAATCAGTTCTGACGAAGGCATGTTCACCTTTCATAAATGCTTTGATTTTGTTGGTTTTGAAGGAGAAAGGTATTGAAGTAATAATTCCATTAACCTGAAATGAAATGTGTTGAAATAATTAAATACTGTATAAATATATTTAGATATGAAATACTACTAGATGTTAATAGGAAACAGAACTTGTAAGAATCAGGCCTTTATTATTCTCCAATTCATGAACCTGTTTATAAACCCTGTGTAGACAATGCAGAAGAAATCTGTGGTCTGTCTTCAACCCAAAAATACCCAAACTTGTTTTTATAGTATAAATCATAACTTTATTTTCTTTCCATCACATTTCCTGCTCTAACGATGCTGATACTCCTTTATCCACAGAACAGCGTATCTCTCATTTCGTGATTACTTTCTCTGCCACTATCACATTACACAATCTCACTGTACGGTTCTAGGACACTTATACTCAATGAGTAACAGGCAATGAGGTTCCTGATTACTGCACCCTGCAATTTACCAGCCATTAATGATATCTGGCCAATATCTGTTAAAGAGATGGCTATTTGAGAAAGTTTACAAGTTTCATATTACTATATTTCCGACTGCGAAGTTCTGTACTTTCAAAGCAGCTAATTCAGAAATGTATTGTTCTGTTCTTTAATGCAAAATTTGTCAAACATCCTGTAAGAAATGGAACATGATAGTTTATTTGCCTTATATGTTGTGGTTGTTAGTGTTAAAGTATTTCAGAAAATCTATGAAACCATTAGAAAGCTGACATAAGGTTTCCCCCCTTCTAAAGGGAAACTGGTATCAATATGTTATTCCGCTCTTCTGATGCCAACACAGACTGTCCCAAGCCACTCTGTGCCCAGAGCTGTGAGACGGATAATTCCCATCACAAATATGGCCTAAGGCATTCAATTCTCTCTACAAACTAAGAAATACACTAACCACCTGGAAATGCATTATAAATGAATAATGCCATGGTACCTTCCACCATCCCGTTTATATAAAATCTACCCAAATAGTTCTCCAACTTGTTGAAGATGTCAAGATGCATTAGGACCTCTTTATCATATCTGGTGGCAGTGCCCAATAGTACAGCCTTACTGGTCCCCGGCATATAAAATAATGCAAGCAGTGGGAGAGATCCAGGTACCAGGCTCCCCAGACTAGGTTTTACTATTTTTGACTTCTCACAAGTTACCTACTGCAGTTACAATGTTTTTACACATAGTAATAGTGGCCCAACTTTGTGTCATTAGGAATTGGAAATCACGGGATCCTCCTACATTGATGTCTGTGGTGAATGGGGTTAACCATAGCAGAACATGGAATATAATGACCACATATATGTCATCTTCTGGGGCTTCACCTGTTAATCACTGGGATTTGTGGCAGGAATATAATAATATTAGATGTGGGGCCTCTGGGTTTTGCAGGCCTCACTGCCAAGAGGAAACAACTGAGATTTGAGGGGAGGGAAGAAGAGGCTTGGAGAGTGGACATGGAGGGACTTGGCCCCACTCCAGCTACTCACTATTTGAAGCTTTTTCCTGTTCTTTTGCTCATGGTAAGATCCTAAATAGCTCTCATGTACAATACACATTAAAAGACCTTACGGTGAACTCCTTAGTGTCTGATTTGCAAGTCCAATTTTATATTACCGTATATACTCGTGTATAAGTCGATCTCATGTATAAGTCGAGTGCAGTTTTGTGACCAACAATTGTGAAATATGCTATGCCTCGTGGATAAGTCGAGGGTAAAACTTGGGGCTATGAAATTTTGTGATTTTAATTATATACACACACACTAATACAAACACACACTCTGCATTATATATACACACACTCATACAAACACACACTCTGCATTATATACACACACACACTCATACAAACACACACTGTATTATATATACACACACACTCATACAAACACACTCTGCATTATATACACACACACACCTCATACAAACACACACTCTGCATTATATATACACACACACCTCATACAAACACACACCTGCATTATATATACACACACACTCATACAAACACACACTCTGCATTATATACACTCATACAAACACACACCCTGCATTATATACACACACACTCATACAAACACACACTCTGCATTATATACACACACACTCATACAAACACACACTCTGCATTATATACACACACACACTCATACAAACACACACTCTGCATTATATACACACACACTCATACAAACACACACTCTGCATTATATACACACACTCTGTGTATATAATGTAGAGTGTGTATATAATGCAGAGTGTGTGTTTGTGTAGTGTGTGTGAACTGGGTGGGGGGAGGGCATTTTTATTATTTTTATTTTTTTATTTTAATATTATTTTTTTTTTATTAATTTAATTTTTTTTGTCCCCCCCTCCCTGCTTGTTAACTGGTCAGGGAGGGGGGCAATCTTAATCCCTGGTGGTCCAGTGGCATGGGTTGTGAAGTGGGGGGGCCGGCAGGAAGCATTTACTTACCTTTCCTGCAGCTCCTGTCAGCTCCATTCTCCTCCGTTCCGGTCAGCTTCACTGTAAGTCTCGCGGTCTGGTTGCTGCGCGGATCGTTGCCATGGCTCTGACGGCCGCGGCTCTCTAAGTTGCCATAATACAGACAGTGACTCGAGTATAAGTCGAGTGGGGGTTTTTAAGCACAAAAAATGTGCTGATAAACTAGACTTATACTCGAGTATATACTATACTCGAGTATATACTGTAATTAACTTTGTTCCCCTTTATTTCCTTTTATTTCGCCTTTAAAGGATCACTATAGGGTCAGGAACACAAACATGTATTCCTGACCCTATAGTGTTAACACCACCATCTAGCACCCCTGGGTCCCTCATGCCTTCGTAAGTAAAGTGAAAATCTTACAGTATTCAAGCCAGAAGCTGTAACTCTGCATGCTGTTTGCCTCAGAAAAACAAGCAGTCTGCAGACATCATCAGAAGTGGTAGCCTGATCCAATCACAGTGCTTCCCCATAGGATTGGCTGAGACTGACAAAGAGGCAGATCAGGGTCAGAGCCAGCATGATTCAAACACAGATAGAACAAGATTGACCCTACGATGTACCGGTTTGGTTCTTGGGTTTTACCGTACACTTGCAGATTGGGATCTAAGGGCTGCTAAGATTATAATGCATTGTGTGTGAGAAAGGGATAATTCACTGCAGCGGTCCTGTGTACCTGCGTTGTGTTATCGATAAAACAGTTTGACATTTATGTGTCCTTGTATTTGTCTTACAAAGCTCAATAAAATTATTGTTTAGAAATCTGAAATAGGCTTGGCTGCTTCTGTTTTAGGAATGTAAAATAAACAAACCATAACCTTTTATTAGGCTTTTTTCTCACAACCCTTTTGAGACCAAGTACTAGTTCAAATGTAAACATATTTTCAAAAGGCTTTTTCTTACAAGGTTAACCACAAAAATTAAACTGCTCCAGAGGCCTCCAAGCTACAAAGAAGTCCTACAAGGGTTATTCATACTACAATAAGGAGAAAGGGATTATTTTCGCTTGGATTGTTAGGGTACCCAATTAACAGAATCTGCTGCCATTTGAGTGAGCACTCTATCTCCCCCTCTCTTTGTTATCCACACCACAGGTTACAAAACCAACCGGGATACTTACCAATACTTGTTGTGGATGATCTCGAGTTAAAGTGATGTTCTGGTTGTACACTTCAAGGGTCAAGGCTTTGGCGTAAGAGACTTTCTTATTCCCTCGTCTTTCAGTTTGAATCTTCACATTGAAATATGGGAGGGAGGAATCAGCAATGCAGACTTCAGCAAACGTATAGATGCACGTTCCCATGAAGTTATATTTCTTTCTATCAAAGGTGATGTAATGAGGGTCACCAGAGGCTGCACAAGTAGAGAAATGTGAAGGGTAGCATCCTCTGACACCACTGACAGTGCTGCATGTTTCACCTGCTTTGCAGCTTGTTTTCTGACAGCTAACTATTCCTAAGGTGGAAACACACTTGCATTTGATGCTGCACTTATCATCTGACCAGAATATCTGGTTAGGTTGGTAATATTTATTGTTGTAGCTGCAGCCACAGCTCGATACGTTGACACATGTCCCGGCACTGAGTATGTAGCCATCATCACACTGACAAGTCTCCACACAAGGCTTTGTGCATCTGTCTGGTGCGGTGCGGTCTGCACAGCTGGCAGGACAAGCGTTGCCGCATGCTTCGTAGTGGCTGTTCTTAGGGCACTGGAAAGCTGTGGAATCAACATCAATATATATTAAAAATGGTCATTTAAATGTTTGTTTCTGGAGCATAAGTAGTCATCTTCCAAACATATAAAGTTAAACGGATCAGCAAGCACCTTAACTACAACAGCTTATTGAAGGGGTTCTGATCCAAGGAATCTTGGGATGCAGTCCCTCTAATTTTATAAAGCGATTTTCTTACCAGTTTACCATTTGTCAAAATATATATAGCAATAACAGGCTGTACGCACTGGGACAGGCTTAGCCTAGCACTTGCAGTCTATCATTACTTATCAGCCAATCATTTAAATGAATCTGTACAGATAATGGGGATGTTTCACTCCATTATCTCAGCTTCAGTAAAGGGTCCAGGCTACAGATGTTAGAAGAGCACTGGTATCAACAAACTGATCAAAAATCGCTGTGTTCCTACATCTCTTTGCACCATGACTACAATAACAGATTGTGTGGGTTATGATGCTTAGAGGGTCTGTTTAAATAGAATAAAGAGACCCAAAAACAAACGTTAGTGCTCAAACATTATGGTTTCCTCCGGGGCTCGTGGAATATGGAATCCCATGTCAGTGTAAGCATCATAGCTATCATGTTATCGTTACTACATGGGGTGATGAGAGACACCATTTACCTCTGTAGAGGCAGCTGCTAATTACTTAATTAAACAATAGTTTACAACTAACTTGTACCAATGCCTGAGAGCTAGGACTCACCACATCCAGACTTTTCTCTCCAGTTGTCGATGGAAATACCTTCCTTTCTGCACAAGTCTGCATAAACTTCCAGAGCTTGGCAAGAAAAGCGTTGAGATCCGTCTTTGCTGCAAACATCATTTACGCAGTTGTTAAAGATGACATCTGCTTTGATTTTAGGGTGACATTCCCTGAAAGGTCCATCCTCAGCTTTGATGAGACCACAGTAATTATCTCCTTTGTAAATACTTATTTTAGTGTCATCGCACTTCAGGCAGTTTTTTTGGCATGTATCCCAGCAGAATGGATCTTCACCAGAGATTTTCCAGCTTTCTGCCCACTCGATGGTTGAATTTGCCATCTTATTGTCTAAGGTCAGCTGCTCATCATTGGACTGTTGATTAAAATTGCCACAGAGTCCACCAGTACTTCCATAATAGCTGCTTGGGATTTTGACCACCACCTGCTCATTATAGTCATAAATCACTTGAAGTCCAAAGTCGGTGTTCAGTATGACACTAGATCCAGAAAGGCTTAAAGAAATCTTGCCATTTAGCAGGTTTACAGGGAGGTTGGTACTTTCTTCATTCACCTTGACATTAGAGGAAAAGAGGTACAGTAAGTCATTGGATGATTTGGACCCTTCTGTTTCACACAGCTATCAATTTACATTCAATAAGAAATGGTAACTTGACTTATATTTTTATTATAAATGGTATATAATCATTTTAAATCTCTCAAACTATCTTGTTTTAAATTTGTTTCATATTCAAGTCAAAAATCAACTTAAAGAATTGAAAACAAAAATCATAGTGTAATAGCTTACCAAGACATTTCCAAAATCGCCTTTAATGAGGGACACGTTGAATCCATATACAAAGACATTGACCAACTTGAGGAAAGACAATGTTGTAGTTCCACCATTATCTTTTATCTCTTCAATGCTAAAATATGTCAAAGTAGTGTCTCCACCAATGTATCTCGACAAAACATAAGCACAGGTGCCTTGGAAGTCATAGCTGTACCCATCAAAGGTGTTATAATGAGTACCTCCCCATTGCCAACAAGTACCGATATATTCCGGGACACAGACTGGAACATCATTCTGTGCAACACAGCTTTCTTTATTCCTGCAAGTAATTGACTTGCACGGATCTGGGGTAAAAGGAATAAGGGTTAGAGTAAAATAACAAATACAAGTTTATTTATGTTAGTTATCACCCAACTCACCAATTATCATTTTATTAACCTCAGGATGAGAAAATGGTATGAGCGACACCTTTATTTGCTAATGTGAAATTTTACAGGACATTAAGGTCCCTTTAACAGGTGCCTGATGACGGGTCCTTTGTCTCCTGAAAGCTTAAAATATTCCTCTTTCATTAGACGTAGCAGGTGTCACTCATCCAATTTGTGTTGGGATTTTATTTTCATTTAATTAATTAACACAGTATCAATAAATAAATATTTGTGATCATTAATCTCAGGATAAATGAAAGCCGCTGACCCAGTCAAGAAGACAATCTGTGTCCGGAGATTTAACATTCTAAAACTGGTGTATTAGCACATTGTCATAATCAGCAACAATCTATAGTTCACATGATAAACCTGACCTAAACGGGCATCAGAACAAAACTGAGGACCTCTATCCAGGGAGTTCCAGAGCACTGTCTCACCCAATCCCCACTGAAAAATGGCATTCTAAATGGTGGCACTAAAACCTAATATACAAGAGATTTTTTTTTTTTACTTAACTAACTTTTTAGTTCATTTTTTTGTTTATTTCTAAATGTGAATAGAAAAGTAGAAAGACAATTTTCTCTCTCCCTCAGCAAATTTCACTTGTGTAAAGTGTTGGTCTTGTTTCCTGTCTATCTGCATGCGGTTTATGTAAAATGAATGCAAAGATATTCTAGCTAATATGAAATATATTGTATTGGTCACATATCTATCTAAACACATACATGTAAATATAGACACATATAAACATACTATCCCGATAAAGACTTTACACAAAAAGTCAACAGTTTATTTTTACTTTTGTTTAATCTTAAGTTCAAGGTACTTTCAAGTGCTCAGCTATTTTAGCGGGTATTGCACACTTACCTATATTGATACATCCTAAAGTTCCTTCAATAATAGTGCACTTTTCATTTTCCGCACAGCCGTAAGGCTCACAGGCCATTGACAGACCAGAAGTGCAGTTGCAACGTTGGCTGCAGTCCAGTGATACAATCGTTTGATTGGCCTGTCAAACATGTACACAAAATATAATCTGGTGACAAAATTCTCTTTCTTTAATGAAAAATATTTCATACATTTAAACAGGTGTTAGAATGCTACAGCTTTGTCTAATGAAGTCACCTGGAACATAGTTATAGATGGTCAGTTTCCAATGATTTTCTATGCTTTTGGATGTTACTCGTTAGCTCCTTTCCAATTGGTCAGTAAATGGATTATGCATTACTAAATTCTTATCTATATAATTATGTATGTATTTAAATATTCATTGGCAGCAGAATTCCTGTGTCCTCCAATATTTACTTGGGTGGGTTAATAATGGGTGTAGTGTAAATACATTTTATTTCATTCATATACAAACTTCATTTGTACATTAGAATTCTTTAAAATAAATATAAAAGTAGAGGTGGATATTCATGGAATTCAGATATTCTTGAGGATTTTTATTTGTTTTGTTTTTCTGCGTAGTATAGTGTTTTCCCAATCTATCGGGAATTGTGGCCATTGGAAATGGAAGTATGTCTGTGCAATCCAAATGTCACGATTCGCAGAAAAGGGACTCCCCACTTCCAATGAATAGTGAACATCCCACTGGTGCAGGCAAGGACCCAAGGTGACCAAACCTTTTGCAATAGTAAATATTTATATAAAGGATCGGGGCACTGCAGTGCGGAATGTTGCCTTAAATCGGACACGATACAAAATGATGATGAGTCAACCACACAAGATGGTCTTTTATATTTGATAATGATTGTGTTCCATCTTGTGTCCGATTAAAGTCTGCATTCTCTATTGCAGTATCCGGATCCTTTATTTCAGCATCGGCATTAGGATGACTATATGTTTTCACTTACATGATAATATGAAGAGTTGTAGTAACAACCACAATCTTGGGGAAGGACACATGAACCACTCTGAAAGAAATAGCCATTGTCACACTGGCATCCCTCTGAGCAGGACACTGGACAGCTGGAGATATCGTACATAGAGGAGCAGCTGGTGGAGCAAAGGTCAGCGCAGGGTTTGTAATGACTGTGCTCTGGGCAACTCATAGCTGTGGATGGAAAAAAAGGAACATTCATTTTAAAGGAGGTTAAATTGTAACTTTCTTCTGTTTGTAAATGCCTCTATCCCCATGTGTTTGTCTAAAAATTGGAGAATTGTCCATTGCAATGCATAAAGCAAATGTTTATATCCAACTGGTATTGACAATTAGCCATTATTTTAGGTTGGTTAGGAATTTTACATTCAAAGCGGCAGAGTGTGAGCGTGGAAGTGTATGAAATTCATGTACTTCTGGTATAAAATAGACTGACTAAATTGGAAATATTTTTGGATCCTTGCTGTGATTAGTTTTGGATCATTTCATTAACTGTGTCATTAACCAAAATATTACTGAACATATGGATTCATTCTGAAATTGTGGAGAATTGGGAAGGGGACTTAAAATTGTAAGCTAAAATGTTCAAAGTGTGAAAAAAGCTAATATTTTTGTGATTTTTTTTTTTTTTTTTGCAATTCATTTGTCATTTCCTGGTTTGCAATATCAGAAGTGAACACTTACGACAAAACGTTGAGCTCCTCCATGAACCGATCTCTATGCCATCATCACGGCACTGTTTGACATAGGTTTGAAGGACCAAGCAAAGGTCTCCGGTTCCTGTACAGAGATTGTTAACGCAGCTCTTCAGATAAGGTGAAGGGTCGACAGTGGGATTACAGATTGCAAAAGGTCCTTTGGAAGAGCTGAGAATACCACAAAGCTTTTCTCCAGCCAATTTGTCCTCTTTTGACTTAGGGCAGACAGGGCAATTTTGTGGAGTTCCCAAGCAGGATTCACTGGTAACGCATATATTCTCTGAGTTATTATATATCCAGGACTCTGCAAATGCAACCAATTCACCATTGCTTAGAACAAATTCATCTTCAACAATGTCATTGTAATTTCCGCATAAACCGCAGGTCTGGTTGTGATAGGTTGCAGGTATGGTCACATGAAGCATAAGATCAGAGTCAGCAATGAGACCAAAATCTGTGCTTAGCACAATCCCCAATCCTCGAGGGATAGCATTCAGTTTACCTGACTCCAAATTAAAGGGAAGAGTCATGAGCATTCCATTCACCTGCATGAAGAAAGACAAGGACATCGTATAATCAACAGTAACGTATTAATTGTTGCCAAACATAGACATTCACACGTTGTTCACTCTAACAGGGCATCAATGAAAGAGTGAGATGTTCTGGCACAGTTACATCGTGTTGGAAATATATTATTTAATCGGATATGCTGAGTGTAACATAGAACATAACTGCCACGACTCTCGGATGATAGTACTGAAAAGATTTAGCATTTTATTTACACATTATGGCTTTGATTTAATTCCAGCCGGTCACATTTACTGGTAGTTTGGCCTCAATTAAATTTGTTTCGATTAGAATCCGATTGAAATGATTCCAAGCTGTTAGAAAAAAAAAAACTTTTCCAATGATTTGTCTATAAAAAGATTTTGTAGATAAACCTTTTAAAAAAGTTTTTCCAACAGATTGAGATCGTTTGAAAAGCAAATTCAAGAGAATTAAATCAAGGTCATAATCCTCGATAAATGATATTATTGAAATCGACAGCTACAAGTTATTGATAAATGCATCACTAGTGTCCATCTGGAAAATAGTTTTAAAAAAAAAGCCTATGGAGGTAAATATGACCCCAAATTTAATATAATGGTGGCTAAGAAACCTTATCATGCCTCCCCTCATCTTGCTTTGGGTAAGAACATGTCCACTAAACAAGGCTCACTGTGTACTGGATGTCAAACTCAGCGCATAACAAACTCAGCGAGTAGCAAAGTCAGCGAATAGCACACTCTATGGATAGCACATTCTATGGATAGCACACTCAGCGCATAACAAACTCAGCGAGTAGCAAAGTCAGCGAATAGCACACTCTATGGATAGCACATTCTATGGATAGCACACTCAACGCATAACAAACTCAGCGAGTAGCAAACTCAGCGAATAGCACACTCTATGGATAGCACATTCTATGGATATCACACTCAGCGCATAACAAACTCAGCGAGTAGCACACTCAGCGAATAGCACACTCTATGGATAGCACATTCTATGGATAGCACACTCTATGGATAGCACACTCTATGGATAGCACATTCTATGGATAGCACACTCTATGGATAGAGGCTTTCTGATATGGAAGTATCACTTCAGTTGAGACTGGCATTTGGGGGTATTTGGGAGATTCCAAACCTCCCTTGTACTAATGGGGGGGTATTGATTATTCCCATAGGTTTTTAGTTAAATTATTTTTAAATGCCTAGCATGGTGGGCATAGGGGCAATAAATGTGGTAGCACATTTATCTAAGGTGTTTTTTTTTTTGCATATTGGGTTTGGCTGCTGGAATATATAAAGAACCTTGCAAGTCTGTTTATATTTTGAATCTAAAATATTATTAATTATATTTCATTTCCAAAATTCTGAAACAAACTTGTGTGATGCCTCTAGGTGCTACAATTGATTCTCAGTAGAATTGCATTCTCTTTCAGGAAGTCGAAGCTGATACAAAGTTACTTCATGCAGTGGCTAAGGGAATGCTGCTGGCCAAGCTGTCCCAAGCATCTATAAACTGGTTACTAGCCTGCAGGGCTATCAGCCATCCTGATGCCATTTATGATTTTCCATTCATTGACAATCATGCAATCTAACTGCAAGCAGGCCTTTCAAGAAGAAAAGAGCGAGGAAAATACATTATTGAATGTAGAAAAGTCATTTCCTTACATAGATTTTGGTTTCGTAGTCGTGAATAATGCTTATAGAGTAATTGTAGACTTCCACTGTTAAGATCCTGCTACTGGGTGGGTCACTGTTTAACAGATTTTGCCTTCGAAGAGAGAAGGGAATCAGATTTGATCCCTCAACTAAACAGGTCTTTGCCAAAAAATAAGAACAGTTTCCATAGATGTCATATCCTAGACCATCAAAGGTCCTGTAGTAGGACTGTCCCATGGCAGAGCAAGTGGATGACCCATTAGGATGGCAACTCTGTACACCTTTTTCAACACGGCATTCTTCATAGGGGCCACAAGAGAAAGCAGAACACACAACGGTTCCTCCAACGGTACAGGTACACCTATTCTCACATGTATCTTCTGGAAAGAATATGTCATTGAGTTGGTAGTATCGATCCTTGAACAAACAGCCACATTGAGAAATAGGAATACACTGTCCACCACTTAGAATAAAACCAGTGTTACAGGTACAGCCTTCTTTGCAAGCACTGTTGCAATTTGGTGCTAATGTCAAAGATTGACAGGTTGATGGACATCCGCTGGAGCATACGTTATAATGGCTGTTATCAGGACAGGTTAGTGCTGCAACAAAAACACAGGAAAACATGACACATAAGGTTTTTCATCCCCAAAACCAAATCTTAATATGTAAAAGAAATCATATCACCATTAATGTATCGGAAGATTTCAAGTTTGTCTTCTCAAGAATATTTAGTTAGTGTGGCCATGCACAGCGTAAGTGGTCAACTGTCCAGTACCTTGGTCTTGGTGACACAGTATTTGTTACATATAAAGAACAATGACAATATTTACTTTAAAAGCTATTTACAACTTGCAATGTGTTGGCCAACAAGGGGTCCAAAGGTCCCAGACAGAGGACCTAATCAGTTACTCATATAGTAAAGCTCTTCACGTGTAACCAAGCCCAGAACATGCATTGAAACAGTTTCCTCTATTCAAGTACGAAGAAAATGTCTACATCAGTACACCTATTCACTAGCCCACCACTGTGTCATGTTTATATTTTATATCACTAAACCATCAGTTCGTTTTATATGTTGTTTGTGTTCTGTTTTCTTCATATCTTCCATTCTTGTAAATTCAATTTCTAATAATCACTCACACGCACTCTTTTTATAGCAGATAAATTAAGTAATTATACATTTGATAATTGTTAATGACATTCTAGACTTGCACACGGAGGGAAAAAAATGCCTTTTCGTAATCGATCAGAATTTCGTTAATAAAAAAAGATTTGGGATCAAAAGGGCCCAAAAATGAGCCAGTCAGTATAGTGATATATATATATAAACACCAACCAAGATGGGTGAAAAAATCGAATAAAAATATAAATGGAATTTGCGATACACTAATAGGTGCTTTTTACCACCATTTGTTTCACGTACCAAGTGAGAAGTAACCAAAAGAGGGAAACACAAGAGGAGCAGCAAAAAAACATTCATTTTTTTTATTTAATGAATATATTTTATATATTATTAAATATATATTATTTTTTACTGCTTCTCCTTTTTTCGCTCCTATTGCTTACTTTTTACTTGATCTGTGAATAAGATCAACATTTAGTGGCTGTACCCTAAGGATTAAACATCTTTTTTCCCTTCAATTTTGTCTTTTTTTTTTTTGTGCCAATTCCACATCACAAAACAAACATGCTTGTCCATTGTGTGTTTTGTTTGTTTTGTGAATTGGCTACATTTTAGTTCTTAGCTTCAGATAACCCGATCAGCCTAGATTCAGACAAAGTGCACCCGAACTAAACGAATCTCCAAGTCTGATATATCCTCAGATCATGTTCAAGAGAAGAGGCAAGGTAAATACAAGGAGAGGTGTTTATATACTCACGGCAAAACTGCTCAGTTCTCCATGGGTAGACTGTTGCTTTGGCATCTTGGCAAGCAGCTGTGTAGCCTGCTATGAGACGGCAAGTAACGTCCTGCAGTTCACCAAATGCACAGAGATCATACACGCAATCCTTGAAGTAATCTTCCGGTAAGATTCGGGAATGGCATTCTCGAAATGGCCCGTTTTTATCTAACAAGATACCACAGCCTTCCATAGTCTTTCTCTGCTCTTTTTCCAATGTCTTCAGATCAGAACAGCCCAATTCTTTTTCCTCATGGCAACCTTGTACTTCTCCAACTTTCCATGTCTGAGCAAAAGAAACTGTGTCATTGGTAACCTCACCATTGGCAAGAAGCAGGTCATCTTTGGGGTTCTTATTAAAGTTGCCACACAGGCCGCAAACCAAGTTGGCGTAGGTAGACGGCACCATGATCTGGACACGAGCATCCCAGTCAAACGTTACCCGGATCCCAATTTTGGTTTGAATGACACAATGTCTCCCAGATGGGAATATAGAGATACTGCCTGATAGTAAGGTAACAGGAATGTTGGATATAATGCCATTTACCTAGGAGCAAACACAGACAGAAAATGTGAATACATAGCACACAGCGATTGAACCTGTACACTTACTGAGCTACATAAATAACATCTCCTAGATGTTCCTCTACCTGGAACGGAATACCAGAGCAACATATTACATTATAGATTAATCATTGTATACATTGTTATATATGTTATTAGCATCACTATAGCTAGTAGTGACATGAAAGATTAAATAAACATTAAAAATATATTCCACATAAAAACTGATTTAAGAGCTTAACTTTTATTTTATATAAATTTTGAGTAACTTTCTTATTTTCTGCTATTGTAACTCCTGAAAGTAATGTTCTAATAGTCCCCTCTCCCATCGTACAAAGGTAACTGGACAGGGGGCAACTATATACTAGTTTATCTATGGGGAGAATATTGCACTCCGCAGTTATACGGGACCCTTCCCTTGGGACCTACTTGTGTTTTTACCGCTTACTACCTTTCCTCACTCCTATTAAATTTGATTCTTTCAGTATCTTTACCTTTATTTTCACCCTTTAGATTATTTAACCAGTGAGCCTATATAATTGTTGGTTTATTTATAGCCAAGAATGCAAATCCATCAATTTGTCCCAAATGTGTCAATTAAAGAATAATTATAATCAATATGATGTTGATAAATAGCCAAATTGCTGCACTTCTCATGGGATTATTTATACCAGGATGTCTCACGCTGTTACAGCCCTTTGGTGAATGTTTTATAATGATAAGCAGGACCCATGGGACGATATGATGGTCATACCCAGAGTAGGGTTTCACAGCTACCATTATAAATCTGTGATTACCAGCAATCAATATCTAATAAGTTAGCATGGTTGTGTGATAGGAAGCAGATCTGTGAGCATCCCATTGTGTGGCACTTTAGAAATATATACAAGCCAGTCTTACCAAAACCTGATTTGGAAACTCTCTGCGGATCTGGATTTCTGTGTCAAAGATGGTGAAGCTGACAAATGCCGTGTATGAGACAACACGACTTCCTCGATTTTCGTTGCGTACTTTCACCTGGAAATCTGTTCTTCCACTAGTATTACTACAGAGCCCCGAGAGCAGATACTCGCAGGTCCCTTGGAAGTTGTAGTGCAATCCATCGTAGGTGATATAGTGGGGATCTCCAGAAGCCGAACACGTGCCGTATCTGGTTGGATAGCAGCCCTGTAGGCCATTTTGTAGGGTACACTGCTCTCCACTTTTACACTTATTATTGCTGCACTCGACTTTGTGGCTGGTTTCATTGCAGACACACTTTTTCTTACACTGGGTGTCCAAATAAAATGAATCACCGGGAGCGTAGAATCGGTCATCGTACTTGCAGCCACAGTATGCTTTGGGCAGGCACTCTCCCCCGATCATTAGAAAACCCGGGTCACATTCACAGGTCTCAATGCAAGGTTCGGTGCATTTTGAAGGTGCTTGTGGGTCCTCACAGGTGGCTGGGCACGAACTGCCACAGGCGTTGTATGTGCTGTTCTTTGGACATTCCAAGTCTGGAAGGAGATACAGATAAAAACATAACGAGTTGGCTCGGGAAAGCTAAACGCAGTGATTAAAGGCTGCCAGTCACTACGAGATAGTACACTCAATGGGAAAATGCAGTTCACGATAATCAGTTTTTACTTAAGTTTTCTGATGTGAAGTGCAAGCAATATTTTCCTTTGTGACAGGAAATGGGGCTTCTTACTCTTTCTTTATCTGTCCTCCATTCTTATGTCACTCAAACTTCTTACTGTGTTTATTATCTTCCCCTCTGCCCTTTTCTCCAGCCACCTCTCTGCATCCTCCCACCTATAAATCCCCTCTCACGCTGTATGTCTTTAAGAGTTTAGCCCTTTGCTTTTTCCCTTTTGTTTTGTATTGTTGATGATGGAGCTGCGATTGTATCAATGTCACATCAGGACATCAACCTGATTACCTGCTGACGCCGCTGTGTGACTCCGACACAGTGTGTCCGAGCAATCACTGTTTATTGTTTTCTATCACTGTCTGAGTGAATGTGCTGTCCAATCCCCACCCATATAGACCTCCATGATTCTATTTATTTTCACGTTACTGGCCTAAAGTCTTTTTTATGTGGTAGAATCTTATTTATTGTTCGACAGAACCTGAATGGCAAGTCAACACCACTTTGTTCCAGCAGATGGCAATGCAGAAGCATTGCTATTGAGCTACAAAGGGCTCAAAGTATTTATGTTGAATTCTGTACACAGAAATCTGTGGTTTGACAACTTTAAGCTCTTAAGGATGGAGGCAATTGTACACGTTCAGAGAAAAACAAAAGCTTGAATTTGCGCTATATACGTTCAACCATAATGTACCTCTTTCGTATTAAGTGCGCCCACACTTATTATATATCATTTTCTTCAGGAGAAACAGGTCGAAACTTTTATTTTACCTCAAATATTCATATATGAATAATATAATAATTTAATACAAATTAAAAAATGTAAAAAGTCTTAGAAACTAAAATGTTTGTTTTTTAGTATTGCGTGGCATTTTAACTGTGAATACCCTAATACTGTTACAGTACTGCAAAAAAATACAAATATTTGTATTCAGCGATGTCTTAGGTTTTATGGTGTTTGGGGAAGTTACAGGGTCAAATATAGCACATATGTTTTTTAGTTTATACACACTGAATTATGCCCGAATGGTTACATTGCCTTTGAGTATGGTAGCCCAGGAATGAGAATTACCCCCATGATGGCATACCATTTGCAAAATTAGACAACCCAAGGTATTGCAAATGTGGTATGTCCAATCTTTCCTAGTAGCCACTTAGTCAAAGTTAGCAATTATATTTGATTGTGTGTGAAAAATACAAAAAACTAATATGAACGCTAATTTTGGCCAATGTTTGTGACTAAGTGGATACTAAAAACGATTGAACATACCCTATATTGGATTGAACTTTTGCAAATGATATGCCATCATGGGGTCAACTCTCATTCCTGGGCTACCATACGGCCTCAAAGGCAAATTTCAGTGTGAAAAAACTGAAATGCAAGCCTTATATTTGACCCTCTAACTTTCCAAAACACCATAAAACCTGGCGGGTTTATACTCTGGAGATTTCGCTGAGCACAAATATTAGTGTTCAAAAACAGTAAAACATATCACATTAATTATATCAGTCGGTGATATCATTGTTGTGATACATTATACTATTTTGAAACAGTAATATTTGTATTCAGTAAAGACTACTGAGTAAAACAGTACACCCCATGGCTTTATGGTGTCTTAGAAAGTTACAGGGTTCAAGACAGACCTTGCAAACTAAATTCTCTGAACTTTCTGCCTGGGCTGTCAGGCACGTCCCTCAAATTGTAAACAATAAAATAATTTAATTATGCAAAAAATATGACATAAATATATACCTAAAATTTAAATATTGTGACGGAACACCATCACTGGGTACCATGCCCACATGTGTCCCCTTTCTTGCCTGCTATTTTTTTCAGGTCCTCATGCTGGGGATCGCCCTACCTGCTCCTACAGGAGCTATAGTCACTGTCCGGGGGAGATCCAGGAGCCTCATGCCTGCAGCCAGACTGTCAGCGAGGCAGGCAGCGACTGCCGGGACTCCCTACCTGGGAGCTACCTAAGTGGAGATATCCACCAGAGAGAGACGCAAGCCCAAGCAGACCCTCGGGAGCTATGAGTCGGCTTCTCACCCGCAGAGTCCCGCTGGCCGCCTGGAAGTCCCTGCCGACCAATAAGAGAAGGAGCTACTATTCAAACTGATTCGTGCCCTTTCTCCTGATAGGCCGGCGCAAGTTAAAGGGATCAGCTCAGAACATCTCCCCTACCTGAGCACTGATTGTCCGCTGCGTGGTTTAGGTGACCAATAGGAAATAGAGCCACAATGCAAATTGGGTTTGCGCCCTTTTTCTTGATAGGCTGGTGTGAGTTAAAGGGCTTAGCTTGGAACCCCTCCCCTCCCTGAGCGCTGATTGGTCACCGCGTGGTTTAGGCGTAAAGTTCGAATCTACCGGCCTAAACCAAGGGATTCTGTGGAACTATTTGCGAGTATGTACAGAGCCTCAAGCCCAGACTTTATATGCTGATTTCTTGGGCTCTGTACATTTGATAGCTCTGCTATTTGCAGGGATCATAGCTGGGGCCTTTAGCTATTTGGAAACATATTATGTGTGGGGTTATTTTATGTCTTTGCTATGTTTTGGCGTATTTTTATGATTTATGTTCTTTATGCACATGTTGTGGGAGTGTTATGGGCGTGCTGGGGAGTGTTTCAAAGTGGGTTTGACTGTTTTGTATAAATTGACTGTACCATGTCCCATTAAAATATTCCTGTTGTAACCTTCATCAAGTCTTGGCTGATGTTTGGGTAGCTAAGAGCTCTGAGCACTGTTTTACTTGTGATTTGGGGAGAACTACAGCGGATATAGGGGATTCGTTACAAATATATAAGTATATTTATATGTATATACAGTGTCAGAACTACCACGGTCGCAGGGGCCACCCGATGCTGTGTATTTCCAGGGGGCCCAGTCAGCGCTGCGGCACTTTAACTGTGCAACTGGGCCCCCTGTGAAGATGTGAAACGCTGGGAGGAAGTGACTGCCCCGGTCACTCCTCCCAGCTTATACATAGCGCTGCGCGGGAGGAAGAGGAGGAGAGGAGTGGGAACTCTGACTCCCATCAGCCTGAGCCACTAAAAGGTAGGAAACAGGGGGGTGACAAAACCATTGTGCATGTGTGATTGTTTGTGTGTGTGTGTGTCTTACTGTATGTATGTGTGTGTGTCTGTATGTATGTATGTATGTATGTGTGTGTGTCTCTGTATATATGTGTGTTTCTGTATGTATATGTGTCTCTGTATGTATTTGTGTGTCTCTATGTATGTATGTGTGTGTCTGTATGTGTGTGTGTCTCTGTATGTATGTGTGTCTGTATGTGTGTGTCTCTATGTGTGTGTGTCTTTGTATGTATGTGTGTGTGTGTCTGTATGTGTGTGTGTGTGTGTGTCTGCATGTGGATCGTCGGGGATCCTGTAAGTACATAGGACGACTGCGGCATTCCCCTAAAGGATGGCATAGAATGCAAGCCGTTCTTCAGAGGTTAAAGTTTCCTCCTGTCTATTTAAATTTACAGGTCAGCTCTGTAAAATGAAAATAAAAAGAATAACTTCTCTTTAGTCCCTTTTTATGGTGGTCTAACCATGATCACCCCTCTAACACTGGCTGAAATCAACAATGAGAAGAATCAGGTGCTTTCTGCACATTTTTGGCGCTAGCCATGCTTTGAGAACCAACATCTCCTCATAGCGAGGCATTACACCAATGCATCTCCATGGGAAGATTCTGTTTCTTCATGTTGTGTGTGAGGGTTCTGCACATGTTGCAGGACAGTAAATGGAAGCACCCCTAGTGGTAGTCTGATTGACTTTAGTGACAGGCTCTCTGCAAAGCCACTATCTAGTGGTTCTCGTGCTTTAACTTTTATTTACAAATGAGTTTATCACAAAGCTGGTTTGTAACATTCATCTATAAAACTAAATGTCGGCCCCTTTATTTTGATACTTTTTTTTAAAAGTGTCGAGCTAGCTATACTGTGTAGAGTATATACTTTTACGCACTTGATAGCTCAGCTCATAATACGATATCAAATCCCTGTGATTCTCAGGATCATCTTGAATGTGACAGAATGTGTCTGTCTGTCTGTCTTCTCTCTGTGTGTCTATCAGCCACCTTTCACGACAATGCTACACTCCCACCACCACGCCTTAGCTAGAAACCATTCATACAGCTCTGCATGCCCCCCACTCACACCTGAACGCTTCCCCTCAGCCATTCAATCAGACTCACTGCCCTAAAGGTTTGAACTTTAATTTAAAGTATTTTAAATTTTAATCACAGTTACATTTTGAGTTTGCAAACTGGTATTTAACTGGTTTACTTACTACCACATCTGGAGTAATTTCTCCATTCATACACTGTGGCCCCAGCCCTCTGGCAGGCATCGCTATACGTCTTCAGGGCCTGACACAAGACCTGGTGGTAGCCATCACTCATGCACAGGTCGTAAACACAGTTATCTTTGTATATTTGTGGATCGATCAGTGAATGGCAGTTTCTGAAGGGTCCATTCCGCAGGCTTACTATGCCACATTGTGTGTTGTTCCCATACATTAACTTGAGGTTGAAGGGGCAGGTTTTACACGGCCCATTGCAGTCATCCCAGCAGGTATCCCCGCTGATCACGTTGGCTACCTTCCAAGATTTTCCAAAATCTATAGGATTCAAAGGAACCCTTTCTGCAGAGTATAGGTCATCATTTGGATTACCGTTGTAGTTTCCACACAACCCACAAACACTCTCAGAAAAGTTACTTGGAAGATTGATTTTCACAAGAATGTTCCAGTCATAGAATATCCGAAGTGCAAAATCCGTCTGGATAATTAAGTAACTGCCACTTTGGAATATCGATACAGCTCCGTTATTCAGTACGATGGGAAGCGGAGCTTTCTGATTATTTATCTGCAAAAAAAGGCCAACACACAATATGATATGATGTACATTTATATTCCAGCTCATTTAATAAAAACAATATCAGATTTTACTTTACTCTGAATGTTCTATGATACCTAAAAGGTAAAACCTATACACTAAAGTAAAAACTGTCAGGATTTCAAGGTGAATTTTAACTTTAAAACCAAAAGGGAAATGTTATTTTTGTGAAAATGTCTCTTTTTACCTGTCAGAACGTCCATGTTGGGTCAGAATGTACTGATATCTGACCTAGCTTGCATCAGTTGGTCAGCTAACAATAGAGTCTGACCCAAAATGGCTGCTCAGTCAGATAAAAAAAAGGAACATTTTCTCAAATAAATCAATATCAGGACATACTTGAAAATGAGGGAAATCTCAAAGTATCCATCGTGGTAAAATATATTTTATAAATAAATAAATCAATATGTATCATTTAACAAAAATATTAAATTTCTTTAAACGTAATCAACTTTTAAAAACCAGAAGTGAAAGTTGGATGACGGTTGTCCTTTATTATGACCATATATTGTGTGACTCAAGGATTTAAAGTAATACAGTGCCTTGCAAAAGTATTCACCCCCATGACTTTTTACCTATTTTGTTACAGTACAGCCTTAAGTTCAATGTTTTATTAATGTGAATTTTATGTGATGGATCAGAACACAATAGTCTAAGTTGGTGAAGTGAAATGTGAAAAATATATACAGAAAACTATTTTTTAGAAATAGAAAACCGAAAATTGGCATATGCGTATATATTCACCCCCTTTGTTATGAAGCCCATAAAAAGCTCTGGTGCAACCAATTACCTTCAGAAGTCACATAGTTAGTGAAATGATGTCCACCTGTGTGCAATCTAAGTGTCACATGATCTGTCATTACATATACACACATTTTTTGAAAGGCTGCAGAGGCTGCAACACCTAAGAGGCACCACTAACCAAACACTGCCATGAAAGCCAAGGAACTCTCCAAAAAAGTAAGGGACAATGTTGTTGAGAAGTACAAGTCAGGGTTAGGTTACAAAAAAATATCCGAATCTTTGATAATCCCCAGTAGCACCATCAAAGCTATCATAACCAAATGGAAAGAACATGGCACAACAGCAAACCTGCCAAGAGACGGCCGCCCATCAAAACTCACAGACCAGGCAAGGAGGGCATTAATCAGAGAGGCAGCACCGCGACCTAAGGTAACCCTAGAGGAGCTGCAGAGTTTCACCGTAGAGACTGGAGTATCTGTACATAGGACAACAATAAGCCATACACTCCATAGAGTTGGGCTTTATGGCAGAGTGGCCAGAAGAAAGTCATTACTTTCAGCAAAAAACAAAATGGCACATTTTGAGTTTGCAAAAAGGAATGTGTGAGACTCCCAAAATGTATGAAGGAAGGTACTCTGGTCTGATAAGACTAAAATTTTACTTTTCGGCCATCAAAGAAAACGCTATGTCTGGCGCAAACCCAACACATCACACCATGCCCACAGTGAAACATGGTGGTGGCAGCATCATGCTGTGGGGATGTTTTTCAGCAGCCGGGACTGGGTGAAAGTTGAGTGAAAGATGGATGGTGCTAAATACAGGGATATTCTTGATCAAAACCTGTATCACTGTGTGCGTGATTTGAGGCTAGGATGGAGGTTCACCTTCCAGCGGGACAATGACCCCAAACACACTGCTAAAGCAACAATTGAGTGGTCTAAGGGGAAACATGTAAATGTGTTGGATTGGCCTAGTCAAAGCCCAGACCTCAATCCAATAGAAAATCTGTGGTCAGACTTAAAGATTGCTGTTCACAAGCGCAAACCATCCAACTTGAAGGAGCCGGAGCAGTTTTGCAAGGTGGAATGGGCAAAAATCCCAGTGGTAAGATGTGTCAAGCTCATAGAGACTTATCCAAAGTGACTTGGAGCTGTGATTGCAAAAGGTGGCTCCACAAAGTATTGATTTTAGGGGGGTGAATAGTTATGTACATTGACCTTTCCTGTTATTTTGTCCTATTTGTTGTTTGCTTCACAATAAAAAAAAAAATCTTCAAAGTTGTGGGCATGTTCTGTAAATTAAATGATGCAAATCCTCAAACAATCCATGTTAATTCCAGGTTGTGAGGCAACAAAACACGAAAAATGCCAAGGGGGCTGAATACTTGTGCAAGGCACTGTATAAACGGATTCTTTCTTTGATCATGTTTATTTCACAGTCGCTATTTATTGTGCTAGAGGTCAATATAAATTGAGCCATTTGGATTTTTTATAAGTATCTACATATTTTATACAATTATATTATATCTATATGGATTATGGGTCTTTAACTTTCACTCTTAGTCTACGGTCACCAAAAGCCTGCAGCTCTCTTGACCTTGTTTGTTGAATGTTTAGTGAGAATTTAGTCAGTGAATAGTATTCATTTCTTGAGAATTTGGTTGTTTCAAATTCCCCATGATAATATCTACATTTGCCGCCTAACCTGTTTATATTCAGGTAAAGCAATGCCTCAGGTGTAAATGCCAACACTATACATTTCTGCCTTTTACAAAATTCTAAAAACTGGCTCAACTAGTGCTTTAGGTACTCATCTAATCTCTTAAATGGACCTTGGCCCTATACTTGACTAAACGGGGTAAAAGGTTCCAGCTGGGATTAAAACGCATATGTTCTAAGTCATTGCCACGTAAATGGTATGCTAACACACTGTGCACACAAATAAATGTTTGATTAGCACTGACTATTAAACAACTGTAAATACCTGGCCTTCAAAAATGGAGCACTCTGGGGTCTTAGAAAATGTCATATATATATTAAACGTATATTTATTAGACTTGTGCGCTGAGAAAAGAAATTTTGTTTAACAAAATATGTTAATCTGGTGAAAATAAAATTAACTGGTTTGGAATTTGTACATGTGGCATTTCATTTTGGATTCATTTTTTCATGCAAACATTTAAGGGAAAAAAATAAATCGACAAACCAAAAGGGCATTAAAATCGGACAAGAAATACTATGTATACATTTTGTGTCATTTGGTTCACAAATCATGTGAGAAGACGTAATCAAGAGAGAGAGAATCCCCACACGTACTCTGATCATCCTCACAAGTCAACGTGACAGAAATTAGGGAATACAAAGTATTATAAGTGAAAAAAGATACGGGATTGCATGGATCAAACAATGTATACACAGACTAACCTTAACCGGCAGAAAGCAAGTGACACCCAATGGTAAATTGTAAACTATCTCTGTATTAGATCACTTATGACAATGTAAGTCCTTGAACACTCGAACGAAGCGCAACTTATGCCTGACTATTATTCATGTTCCTATGTCTTATTATTGAAAAATTACATAAAAATTAGGATTGTCAAAAAAAAGAGAGAGAAAAACAAGAGTAGAGGTAAAAAAGAAATAAATCTAGATTTATATGTTAGTTATGATTATACGGTATTTATATATGTAAAGATATATAGCTTGTTATACTGCTCCACCTTCTGGTCCCTCTAATGGTCTCTTAATAACTAATGAAATGGCTCATCCATTGCACATTTTACTTGTTTTGTGATTTGTTCAGATAGCATTTCTGACTTTGGAATTTCTGACAAACCACAGATTGCCCAAAATTGCTAATCGCAATTCAGAAAAAACAGAATGCACTAGCCTAATTTATGGATAGGATGCTTGGATACTAGCCTCTTGTCTTGGTTTGGTTTGCGTGTGACATGGCTGATAACTTTTACCAAATTCATAATACATGCAAGCAATTTGGCAAAAGGGATACATGCCATTCAATCAGGTTTGAAGCTAGGTGTCCAATCGTTTATTGTTCAGTTAGATAATCACCCAAAACACGTCTTACCATTCAAAAATTGCCTGGAGACTGGGCCTGAAAAGCTTTCTATCACTTTCCCCCTCTACCAGATATGCATTACTTTCAATGTTTTATTTTATACCTAAATTTGTATCAAGCTTTATCATTTCAATGTGTTTGAAATGCCTTGGGATTTATAGCAAAAATATAACCATGTGAACATTAATGGCTGAATATAGTGCCAGTTCAGCCAACAGAACCAAGCAAACTCTATAAACACACCAGTTTGCCTTTAGACAAGCCATTTCTGCTAATAGTGTCTTTAAGGTTCATTTAATATGTCAGACAGTTCCTCCATAAACAGGCAGTAGTAATGCCAATCAGGCAGTATGGAATAAGTTGAAAAGCATAAATTACAATGCCATTAAATACAATTTCTTCATTCAGTATTTAAAAATCCTCCACTTACCCTCACGGTGCCCATTTCAGACCTGACACTGGTGATGTTGTAGTCATAAATCTGTAAGTTGACATAACGAATGTAAGATACCAAGGAAGATCCTCGATTCTCATTCTTGATATCAACACGGAAGTTAGGTATGGTTGGATCAGAAACACAGTTTTGCACCATAGTGTAGGCACAGGTTCCCTGGAAGTCATAATTCTTCCCATCGAAGGTATGATAATGAGGGTCTCCCCAAGCCCAACATTCAGACACATATTTTGCAAGACAAGTTGCTTTGCCCTGGATAATCTTACACATCTCCTGTTTTTTGCACTTGGTTTTGCTGCATGATGGTCGAGATGAACCTGAATCCAAAAAATAAATATTTGGATGAAATGAAAGGTAAGTACATAACACTAGTTTATCAAGATCAAAGTAGATTTGGGAGCTACAAAGATTGTAGTAAAAGTACTTTGTTTTTTCAAATTAGCTACAGATTGTATTTTCGAGTCATAGTATTTCATATTATTTGACCTAGCCTTCTTTCTCCAAAACATGTGTATGTATAAAGACTATAAAAGGTACAGTCCTCCCACATTTTCCAGCAATTTGTGAAGGTCAAACTTCAATGCTAATTTATAGCAACCTGGGAGAGGAGAAGCGATTGAGGGCTTTAGGAATTCTTCACGTTTTAATAGTGTCATCCTGTGCAGTACAGGTGCTTGGTATAACAGTTCTAACTGTATGTGTGCATTAAATCTGCATTTATTATTTTACTTTCTAAATGCATTTTTAAAAGCTGACCAAACAAATCAATCTATTTTATTACATATCCTGTATGTGTAAAATGTGTTTGTTTTTTTGGTCTAAAGGACTGCCAAAAAAGCCACACTTGGCTTTTGCTATTTCAGAGATTCAATGCTATTAATATTCTACTTACTGATACTTATTGTATGGCATTGAATGTCGCACTGTGACTTTAATAAACTGTAAGAAAAGCTGAATTACTGTTCTTTATTGTGACCTAATCCACTAATACAATTTCCTCCATGTTACTACAAATGTGAATTTACATCCGAGGTGTAGTCTATTACAGTAATAGTGTAGTCTTAGTGAAGCGGTATTCTCAGAAGGTATAAATTAGAATTTTTTCACCAGTGTGCAATATGTCCTGGATCAGTAAAATACAGACAGAAACGTCTTGTATCAGGAAATCTGTTATGGGAACGAACACACATTTTCAAACAATCCTTCCAAAGAATAAAATATTTATATATTTATATACAACCCACTGGAAGAATGTAGTTTTTCTTTTTTTTCTTTCTATGCATCACCTGAAATACATCTCCCAACATAAATAATAGCATTTCTTGTTTCTAATGAAACCCACACATTTCTATGGAAATGTAGAAAGAATGTTAATATTGTGCTTAGTTTGTACATCTTGTACATACAGTTTTTATACGGGTTAACCTGTTCTCTTACTGTAAGGATTCAATGTCACACAGGAACTACTCCGCTTATTTTTGGATAACAGTTAAAACTGACCATAAAGAAACCAAGGCCGCTTACCACTCAAACAAATGCCAGGCTCCCCATAGGCATTCAGTGAAGCAACACCAAGAATGGTGAGTCCAAACGTACTGTTACCATCTTCAACCATGGACGTTTTAGAATTTGAATTCATGTGCGCTGCTCTCCACGAATAGTTTGTCCCTGGAATTTCTTGCCAGTTGACATCTCCCAGAGGGGTTTTATTTATGGTTAGTTGTTGTAGAGATGAGGTCTTGGCTACAATGATAGCTTCATTGTTGAAACCATCTTGGCCTGCAGCCAGGTAGGTGGTACAGTATGAGTTCACATCTGGAACACTCATCAAGAATGTATCAAAAACCATGGATCCATAGCGACCTCCTGCTGAGAAAAGAAACACTTGTATGCCTTCTGTAGCAGTTACAAAGAGAGGAGCTGATGGCATCAGTTGTATCTCTAAGTCTTCTCCAGCATTGAGCGTGTGAGTGGTTTTTAGTGACCCAGCCTGGTAGGTCACTTGAGTGTATTGAGAGGCAGTCACATAAACTAGGTCATACTTGGTCTGAAACGGGCTTGGGGGAATAATGAATGTGGATCCCCAGTAATCAACAGGTTGAAGCTGCTCATAAACATGATTGCACTTTGTATGTTTGCTGGCACATGTGTGGCCGCTCAGAACAGCCACTGGCTTGAGTGCCTCTACTTTTGTTCCAGAAAGATCATCAGTGCTCTGGAATGCTATGGCTTCGTATGACTCAAGGCTGAATTTCAGTTTGCTTCCTTTAACATACAGGCGATCTTGGAAGGTTACATCCCCGGTGAGGTGAATGGTCACTGTGGTTGGCTCCTTTGAAACCACAGCAAACTCTTTAAAGGACCCTTCCGGACCATCAGATGGTGTAAATATATAGTAATTTGTTCCCAGTTCCTGTACAAACAAATGAAAATGGAAAATGAGCAAAATTAATTTAATATGGCAATGAAACAATGTCATAAAAAATGTCATTTAAAATGCTAAAACTGGTCTTTGTCACTTTCGACACATTCCGATTTTCTCTTTATGAATAATCCTGGTGGTGGTTGCTGTTACATTTGTTTTCTTGTGACACATTGCACTATTGTCTGTGGATGACTGTTTAACTCAATAACACAGAGTGTGTTCATCATCTGGTGTGTTCTGCTAATTCCAAGCGAGGCGGTCAGAAATACTGAATACTTGTATTTTTCTTTATTTTTTTTTCTAAAAATCTTTATCTTTTTGAATATTAGTCAATATGTTTAAGACTCTCCAGGTATAGAATAGAGATACTATTTTATTATGAAACCTTCTTAAAGCCCATCATATGTCTTCCAAATAATTTCTAGTGCATAATAAAATTTGTCTTCTATGCAATCAAATTTATGAGAGCTCCCAGCTCTCTCCCGACATGTCATTTTCAGGACGAAGTCTGAACTGAGGGCAACAGACACAAATAGCAGCTGATAAGGTATTGTGTATGTCACATGGAGGATTTCTAATGCCCAACTTTGAGAAAACAGTTTGCTTTTTAGTTCATTATAAATTGATCTTCCCCCGTCCAGTAACCTACATATGCCAATCCTTATCCAGTCTAACCTACCTGCACACTGCATATTGCAATGATAAATGGTAGCTCTATTTCACCCAAAGCCCTGCCATACGTCAGATTGGACTGACAATATACAAATGTAAGATGGAATTTGCTAACACACTATTCACTAACAGAGACGTTTGAAGAGTAACTCGAATAATAATGAAAACACATAGAATGATGGCATTGAATCAAGCAATATTCGTCAACTATATCCAACTCATAAAGCCAAAAGGTATCTATCCCACGAAGATCAATGGAATGAAAACGCCTGCTGGCAGAGTTGAAATAAATATGGCAAACAGGGTGGAAGAAGGGTGATCATTACATGGGAATCGGCTAACTACGCTGGGTTTTGGTATTGAGGTGTTCATTTTTATTGGTATTCAGGGCATTATACTGGAGGCATTGGACATCCGATGTCTTACTGATGATTGTCAGTACCACCAATAGTGTCCAACGGACTCAACATTCCTGTCTACTGCTTGTAGTAAACAGCAAGCAATTTCCATTACACTCACTTAGTACTTGAAACTTTTGAGCAAAAATCTCAGCAAGGAAATACATATGAGATGTCAATATAATTTATTGAGCACAAATGACTTGCATTACTTACCCCCCTTGGGCAACATGCACTAGATCTCCACCTTAAGCACCATGCACTGGGTCTCCCCATTGAGCACCATGCACTTGTTCTCTCCTTGGGCACCATTGACTGCGTCTCCCCCTGGGCACAATGAATTGTGTCTCCCCATTGAGCACCATGCACTTGGTATTCCTATTTGGCATCATGCACTGGGCCTAGCCATTGGGCACCATGCACTGGGTCTCCCATTAGGCACCATGCCTGGGTATTCCCATTAGGCACCAAGCACTCGGCCTCCCCATTGAGCACCATGCACTTGGTATTCCTATTTGGCATCATGCACTGGGCCTCCCCATTGGGCACCAAGCACTCGGCCTCCCCATTTGACACTAAGCACTGGGCATTCCCATTGGGCACCATGCCTGGGTATTCCCATTAGGTACCAAGCACTCGGCCTCCCCATTGAGCACCATGCACTTGGTATTCCTATTTGGCATCATGCACTGGGCCTCCCCATTGGGCACTAAGCACTCGGCCTCCCCATTTGACACTAAGCACTGGGTATTCCCATTGGGCACCATGCCTGGGTATTCCCATTAGGTACCAAGCACTCGGCCTCCCCATTGAGCACCATGCACTTGGTATTCCTATTTGGCATCATGCACTGGGCCTCCCCATTGGGCACCAAGCACTCGGCCTCCCCATTTGACACTAAGCACTAGGCATTCCCATTGGGCACCGTGCCTGGGTATTCCCATTAGGCACCATGCACTGGGCCTCCCCACTGAGCACCATGCACTGGGTATTCCTATTTGGCATCATGCACTGGGCCTCCCCATTGGGCACCAAGCACTCGGCCTCCCCATTTGACACTAAGCACTGGGCATTCCCATTGGGCACCGTGCCTGGGTATTCCCATTAGGCACCATGCACTGGGCCTCCCCATTGAGCACCATGCACTGGGTATTCCTATTTGGCATCATGCACTGGGCCTCCCCATTGAGCACCATGCACTTGGTATTCCTATTTGGCATCATGCACTGGGCCTCCCAATTGGGCACCAAGCACTCGGCCTCCCATTGGACACCATGCACTGGGCCTCCCCATTGAGCACCATGCACTGGGTATTCCCATTAGGCACCATGCACTGGGCCTCCCCATTGAGCACCATGCACTTGGTATTCCTATTTGGCATCATGCACTGGGCCTAGCCATTGGGCACCAAGCACTCAGCCTCCCCATTTGACACTAAGCACTGGGTATTCCCATTGGGCACCAAGCACTCGGCCTCCCCATTTGACACTAAGCACTGGGTATTCCCATTGGGCACCAAGCATTCGGCCTCCCCATTTGACACTAAGCACTGGGTATTCCCATTGGGTACTATGCACTGGGCCTCCCAATTGGGTTCTATGCACTGGGCCTCCCAATTGGGTTCTATGCACTGGGCCTCCCCGTTAGTCACCATGCACTGGGCCTCCCCATTGAGAGAATGTTACTATTCTCACTGTTCCCTATGCATTTTGTAACAACACAATGCTGTGAATGGACCCACTTGATTTCCCTTACAGAACAATTAATGTTGACAGGTTTCTTACTTCCGTAGGAGTTTTACTACTAACAATTTATGATGGTTAACTAGCATTTGTACGGAGCCAGCCCTTGCTAAAAAATTTAAACTGGATTTCAATTGTCATTAGAAAAGTTAGACCTTTTGGGGTAAAAATTTAATATTGTGAAATAACGGCCATATTTTGTTAAAGGGACAATCCACATGCATAAAGTTCTTTAGCTCTCTGTGTTATATGCAAAGAGCGTGTCCTCTGTACTTCGATTTGCACAAAATAAGCACAAACGCTTAGTTCCTTTTTTAACAACAATCTTATAGTGACTGTATCTTCTTTGTGGTAGAATGAGATGGTGTCATTGCTCTGACATTTAAACTGTCAGATTGTTTGGTTTGTGTCTCTGAAGTGTATCAGGGTATTTACTTAAGTTGGAAGTGCTGTGAATTGAAAGTGAGTTTGAAATTGTATGCTAAAGAATAAAACATATTGTTACAAATTTCTTGCAAATATAAGTATAAGTGATTGGTCTCTTTTAATAACTGATGTTAGAAAAATGCAACTGGAAAAAAAAAAAAACTCTATTTAACAACATTGTTTTGTGGTTTAAATAATCTTCTGTTATCACCCAAATGTATCTTTTGTTTCTAATATTATTTACAACTTCAACAATAAGCATTAATTTTTCAATCAGATCCATCTATCGATCTATCTATCTGTCCATCATTCCATCCGTCCGCCTGTCTGTCTATCTCATTGGCTATTTGTGTATTCCGTATTATTGCACACTGAATATTACGCAATTAACATCTGTCCAATCAAAACACTGTCAAAGGAAAATCTTCAAAGCCATCAAAAAGGTTTTGATTTTATTTAACTGTCATTTTTCAAATTAGTTTTTAATTTTGGATAACATGTTAAAATGATTAAATGTGTAGAATATTGAATATATTGAAAAAATATTTGGAAAAATATTTTATAAATAAAAATATATTTTAATTGTGGTTAGGGTACAGAGGCTAAGGGCATACACAAATTTGAGCTATACCAGTAGTAGCAATATGTTTATATATAATATGTTTCTTGATATTTTAATATATTGACTTTTTTTTGTGCAAAGTTTATTAAAAAATATTAAATTGATTAAATCCTAAATTCTTTAATATGCATTAAATAAAGAACAGCTTTTCCCCATAGCAGGAATTACCCTGCTGCCTCCTTGCAGTTATATGTAGGTTACTATGTTGCATACATTGACCCATTCCTCACTTTCTCTCTATCCATTGTAAGCTTCTCTGGAGGACATGTTCGTACGCTGTGATATCTTCATGTAGACATTGCACTGTCTCGATATCATGCAGAGTACTTGTAAGGTATTCGTGGCTCGTCCTTGGTAACACACAGCTCGATCAAGCTGTTTTTCATGGTTTGTGAATTTCTACAAGACCTGGCAACAATGGATGAAGTGTGCTAAGAAGTGTTTATAAACTCTTATAATAGTTATAAATAAATACTGGAAAATGATTGCATTTTTAATTCTTGGTTTGTGATATATACAGCATAAACTAATATCTTACCTCAACCGGGAATAGAGATGCTGTGTCAGAGCTCTCGGTCTTATAGTTTCCAGACACGACAGAAACTGGACTGGAGGACATCACGATCACTGTATAATAAAAAGGTTTGGAAGATGTCATTTGGACAACGTTTGGGAGTTGGATGGTGGCTTGCTCCATTGTGTCTAAAGTAATTTTCTTTCGGAAGCTGTATTTGTTGATGGCGATGTTGACGGTGGTGGCGGGGTAATGGGCAGTAATGGACAGAGTAAGATCAGGGTTTCCTGTTTGTATGTTGTGATTTTGCATGAAGACGGTAATGAACTCAGTTCCTGGGACACCAGCTGAGCAGAAACTCACTGCATAGACAGAAAAAAGATAGTTTATTGTATTAAAGTACCACTAAAACCGAAAAAATGTAATACACAAAATACTAAAAAGAAATGACAGCAGACCTGTACCACAAAAATGACATAAAACACGTATCGCAGGAGAAACATTGGCAAGAATTGGCAAGTCGCAGTGTAAGACAGTGCTGTCCTTTAGGGGTCACTTGCATTTTGCTGCTCTCCCTGGGGTTTCTTATATTACCAGTGTCCAACCTTGAATGGCACACTCAGGTACATAAGATGCAGGTGGCCCAAGTTTTCCATTTCTTTAACAGCTCACCGATTGGCATACAGCCACTTTCTACATCTATTACAGACTTTCCACAAATCCTCCGGTTGCATCTAAGGCTACAATCCATCAGTGGGTGAGATCCACCTATTTATTACTAAAGTTCACTATTTTTTGGACTATTGTACATAAGGACATATATAACTTTCTTGATTTTTTCTTTTCATTTTCATTTTTTTCATTTTCTTTTGACTTTTTTGTCATTTTTTTAATTTTTCCATTATTCCTTTTTGATTTTTACTTTTTTTCTATGTACATAGATTACAACAGATCCGACTATTATCCATATGGATTTGTTTTCCTTAGACCATTAAATAGGAATATTATTAGCTGTGTATATATACTTATTATGAATTTATACAATACCCATGGAGGTCATTCTGTAAATAGCTATTGAATATATGATGTAATGTATTCTATTGATCAATTATATTTTCTCATATAGAGCTAAATACCTATGAATTTAATAATAAGAGCATAATAAATGAAATTAGATTATCTTTCATTATTGTTTGACTGTTTTTCTATATTGAGTGCGGTATTCATATTGATTTTTTTTGTACAATTTTTATGAGGCTTTTTTAGGGTTAACCTCGAATACCTGCACCTTTAGTGTGATTGAGTGCCAGCACATGTTATATTTTTTCCTTTTCTTTAGGTTAAGATTTGTTTCTTTAATTAAAGGGAGGATATTATTCTCTATTCATTTCTTTGGATTTTTGGAAATTTTTATACCCAGATAATTAAAGTAGCTTTTAACTTGTTTAAATCCATATTTATTTTCTTTAAAATCAATATTATTTTGAGCTGTAATTAAATATAACGCTGTAGATTTTTCATTATTTATTTTACAATTGGAAAAGTTGCTATAATTTCTAATAATCTCAACCACTTGATCAATGGAATCCTTAGGTTTCTGAATAGTTATTAGTACATCATCAGCATATAGCTTGATTTTTTGGTTATTGTTTTCTTATATCTTATATCTACTGCCAGGGGTTCGATCGATAATATGTACAATAATGGTGATAAAGGACAGCCCTGTCGAGTACCATTTGAAATTTCAAACCATTTGGACTTAATTCCATGACCCACGGTTCTTGGGGATTGCTGTATAGGCCATTATGGCACTGAGTATCTGAACCGAGAATCCAAATGATACTAGGGACTCTCTGACGAAAGAACAGCTGACCCTGTCGAATGCTTTTTCTGCATCCAATGACAGGGTCGGCATGGGAATACATTCCTCTCTTGCCTGTTCCAGTATTCCTATCATGTTTCTTATATGGTTAGTGGAGAGTCGTCCCGGAATAAATCCCACCTGGTCTCTATGTATTATATGACTAACTACTCGTTTAACTCTGTCTGCCAATATTCCTGCATATACCTTAATATCTATATTTAAAAGAGAGATTGGCTGATAGCTATCTACTTTCTCTAGGTTCTTACCTGGTTTTAATATTGGGACAATATTGCCCTTAAGCATTTCCTGTGGGATTATAGTCTTTAATATAAATTCATTAAAAGTAGTTTCTAAATATGGAGATATTTCATTTTTAAATAATCTATAGAAAATCTCTGTAACTCCATCTAGTCAAAGTCTCTATCCATTTATATATTTCATGTAGAGAAATTGGAGCATTCAGTTCTCTTAGTTGAAATTCTGAGATCTTTGGTATTATCTTATCTTTAAAATAATCTTTTGGATCGAATTGATTATGAGGTAGATTATATAATGAATAATAGTAATCATTAAAGGCCTTTCCTATAAAAGCATATATTGTACCAAAATTCTCGTATATTTATTCCTATAAAGATCCCAGACAGCTGGCTAGAATTAATCCAAACATCATTTACTAAATTTATCTGGGCAGGCAAAAAACCCAGAATTAAAAAAAAACATTATGTCTAGGAAAAAAGATGAAGGAGGTATGAGTATTCCAATTATCCAAGACATTGCACAAGTTAATTCATTAGCGCATGTCTTAGTGATAAATAAAGAAGACTCTATAAGTGAAAATTGGTATAAAAGAGAACAGACTCTGACTTCGGGAGATAGGGATTACAAAACCCTTACATGGGCAATAGATAAAGAAACAAATCAATGTATTAAAAATTCTAAATCGTTACACTGCCTCTCTTGGCAAACTAATCACCTCATTTAGATTCCACTACCACCTGTACACCAATGACACCCAGATATATCTCTCCTCCCTAGACCTCTCCCCAACTGTACTGAAACGTGTCACTGCTTGCCTTTCTTCCATCTCTGACTGGATGTCCTCCCTCTTTCTGAAGCTCAATCTCTCTAAAACTGAGCTTCTTGTCTTTCCTCCTCCTAATACTGATCCTCCTCTTTCGCTCTTCCTTCAAGTTAGTGGTACCCACATCAGTCCATCCTTGCAACCGCACTGTCTTGGTGTCATACTTGATTCTGGCCAAACCTTTGAGTCTCACATCCAGTCTGTTACCAAATCATGTAGATTTCACCTTAAAAACATCCCGCATCCGCCCCTTTCTTACACAAGATACTACTAAGGACCTTGCCCATGCTCTAGTAATCCCTTACATGGATTATTGTAACCCTCTTCCCAAAATCTGTATTGCCCCACTACAGTGTGCAATGAATGCTGCCGCTAGACTGATTTTCCTCTCCAGTTGGTCCTCTCACACCTCATCCTTCTGTCATTCCTTATATTGGCTTCCAGTATTCTTTAGGAGTCAATTGAAAGTACAAATCCATACCTATAAAGCATTGAACAATTCTACCCCCTCCTACATCTCTTCATTAATTCATAGGCATGCCTCTTCTCACTCTGCCCATGACCTTCTCCTGTCCACTGCTCAGACACATACAGCAAACTCGGCTTGCAGGACTTCTCGCAGCGGCTCCCTTCCTATGAAATAGCCTGCCTACCGCCATCAGACTCTCCACTAGTATTCAATTGTTTAAGAAGTGCTTTAAAACCCATCTGTTTAAGAAAGCTTATGGCCTCCCAGAATAACCTCTACCTCACATACCTGTCCCTTGCTCTCTCCTAAAGGGCAGCTCTGCTTCACTCCCACCTTATTTTATTGCTATTTCCTGTCCTAATGTGTTTTATACTCCACCTCCTATATACTGTAAGCTCGTTTGAACAGGGTCCTCTTCAACCTATCGTTCCTGTAAGTTTTCTTGTATTTGTCCTATTTATAGTGAAATCTCCCCTTTCATAATTAATTATAAAGCTCTATGGAATCTGTTAGCACTATATAAATGACTATAATAATAAACCACTATTGCCCCTAACCTCCCCACTACAGGTCCTAAGCCCCTACTATTGTTCCTAATCACCCACTACAGGTCCTAACTTCCCACTACAGATCCTAACCCCCCCACTACTGCCCATAACCACCCACTACAGGCCCCAAGCCCCCACTATTGTCCCTAACCACCCACTATTGCCCCTAATCCCCCCACTATTGTTCCTAATCACTCACTACAGGCCCTAACCCCCCACTTTTGTTACTAACCACCCACTACAGATCCTAAGCCCCCGCTATTGTTCCTAACCACCCACTACAGATCCTAACCCCCACTATTGCCCCGAATCCCCCACTACAGGTCCCAGCCCCCCACTACTGCCCCTAACACCCCACTTAAGGTCCTAACCCCCACTATTGCCCATTACCACCCACTACAGGTCCTAAGCCCCCACTAGTGTTCCTAACCACCCACTTAAGCTCCTAACCCCCCACTATTGCCCATTACCACCCACTACAGGTCCTAAGCCCCCACTAGTGTTCCTAACCACCCACTTAAGCTCCTAACCCCCCACTATTGCCCCTAACCCCCACTACAACATTTCGTTTTGGGTTCAGACTTTTTGGAAATATGGTATGAATCACAAAATTGGACCTAATTAGGACCAAATTCAGTTTTGAAAAAAACAAATTATTTGCATATGTGTGTGAGTCTGTGTGTTACTCTGCAGGCTTCCCCAAACTCCGGTCCTCCAGAGGTTGCTGAAATATAACTCCCATGATTCTCAGCCTATCTATTTCATTCATAGAATCATGGGAGTTGTAGTTCAGCAACATCTGGAGGGCTGGAGTTTGGGGAAGCCTGCTAAGGCTCAGTGAAATGTCTAGAGCACATGACCTGAAGATTATTGAAATATTTTTACTCTCTCACTTACTATATATAATTTTATTTGACATTTCTCAGAATAAATTATATCTTTTATGTTCTATTAGAGAGCTCCCATGGCCCAGCCTGGATTTGATATTTAAGTAATACTAAGAATATATATTGTTCTTGTGTAATTGTCGTAGTACATTAACGTGGTTTAAAGCATTCCATTGGTGACTCATCTTTCCGTCAATACAATTCTGTAGGTTCTCACTATGAATACAATGTTGAAGTATGAAACAAATGCTGTGAACAAACACAACATGCTCGTAGTTATATCTAGTAAACTACAGGGAGGAGAAATGGAAACAGCTTAGATAAAATCAGCTAGACGCACCTGGAGCTGGCCCTGACTACACTTGTGTTTGTTCTTCAGAAAATAAACTCCATATTATCTTAAAGAAAGGATTTCCCCATCCACACCCACATTTTTACTAAACATATAAAAAAAAACAGGTATTTCCATATAAAAGCATGGGTTATCTATATTTCAACTATATAGCACTTCATAAAGAGTTAACTTCACACATCTATCTATCTATCTATCTATCTGTCTATCTGTCTGTCTATCTATCGCTCTATCTGTCTGTCTATCTATCTGTCTGTCTGTCTATCTATCGCTCTATCTGTCTGTCTATCTATCTGTCTGTCTGTCTATCTATCGCTCTATCTATCTGTCTATCTATCTGTCTGTCTGTCTATCTATCGCTTTATCTATCTGTCTATCTATCTGTATGTCTATCTATCCATCTATCTATCTATCTGTCTATCTATCGCTCTAGCTATCTATCTATCTATCTATCTGTCTATCTATCGCTCTATCTATCTATCTATCTATCTGTCTATCTATCCATCTATCTATCTATCTATCTATCTATCTATCTGTCTATCTATCGCTCTAGCTATCTATCTGTCTATCTATCTATCTATCTATCGCTCTAGCTATCTATCTATCTATCTGTCTATCTATCGCTCTAGCTATCTATCTATCTATCTGTCTATCTATCTATCCATCTATCTATCTATCTATCTATCTATCTATCTATCTGTCTATCTATCGCTCTAGCTATCTATCTATCTATCTGTCTATCTATCTATCGCTCTAGCTATCTATCTATCTATCTATCTATCTATCTATATATCTATCTATCTGTCTATCTATCTATCTATTGCTCTATCTATCTATCTATCTATCTATCTATCTGTCTGTCTGTCTATCTATCGCTCTATCTATCTGTCTATCTATCTATATGTCTGTCTATCAATCACTCTATCTATCTGTCTGTCTGTCTATCTATCTATCTGTCTGTCTGTCTATGTATCTGTCTGTCTATATATTGTCTGCCTATCAATCTATACTTTATCTATCTAAATTTATTTCTATCTAGATTCTTTCCTTCTTTCTTTCTTTCTTTCTTTCTTTCTTTCTCCCTTAGTATTGGACTAAATCCATGAATTTAGTTGTTTTCCATTTGGATCCATATAAATTCTATATACTGACTGCCAGGAAGCCATTTTCTTCCATTTGGCAGTAAAAACACAACGCCAACATATAATGCACTCACCGTATCCCAGAGTCAGCCAAAACAGGCAACGGAGGGTCTCCTGCTTCCCCATTGCTGAAAGAAAAAAAGGGTAAATTTATATAAATATTCTGTGACAGTGTGAGTGTTCTTACATTGTTTGAAACATCCACAGACAGTAACAGCTCCATAAACGGCATACATTAGACTTCATAGATGTTATAATAATAATTGTATAAATAATAATAAGAGAGTGAGTATGTGTGCGTGAGTATGTGTGTGCGTGTGTGCGTGCGTTCATGCGTGCGTGCGTGTGTGTAGAGGGGCTGTAGTACAAGAGGCCGTGAATTAAATGAATGAATTAAGTAATGAAATAATGAAGGTATACAGGTAGAAAGTCTGAGAAGTAATTCTTCCCTGGGGATACGAGATACTTGAAGTGTTGTTAATGTGTATTATGTAACTCAGCCTCAATGCATAATCGGAATTAGAATCTCGAGAAGTTACAAGTGTTGAAGTTGAGGTCAGTGTAATCTTACCCACAGGCTATGTATGTTAACACTGGTTGTAATATTGCTACTTGGAAAAGAAACTCCTGATTAGCTAGATTCCTCGCGCGCCTTCTAACATGACTTCTTTGTCATCTCAGGCTAATACACTCAGACTGCGGCTGTCAGCATGCACTGAATTCAGACAGGTATCCGAAAAAAACAGGGATATAGCTAGCCTAGAAACCAAGGGGGTGTGCTTTGTTTGTAGATAGGTAGAGAGACAGACAGACAGAAAGACAGAGAGATGATAGATGTTATAATAAATATCAATGTGTATCATTTAAGTGATTGTATTAACAGCTATGTTGAAGGCACATCTCATTAAACCAGCTGCAAACGGGGCGTTGGGGTGTTGGGTTGTTTGGGGTGTGTCCAGGCTCATTAATGCAGGGGCAACTTGTGCTTCCTGACCTTCATTTAGTAAATCAGAAATCTAGACAGAGGTCACTTGAGTGGCAGAGAGATGGGGATCTCATGGGCCACACAAAGGGGAGACAGAGAGGAGTAAGTACATTACGCCGCATGTAACACTCATTATGGGCTACCTGTCATTTTCACTAAGGAAATATTTAATATTTTATCTCCTATGTCTTAAAGTTCTATTTTTCTAATCCTAGTAAATAATAATTAGGAATAAATGTTTGCAATTTACTGAAATGAACATTTAGCAGTCGTATTCCCTAATGAAATAAGCTATGTGTATTAAATTATTAATTAATTCAGGGACAGATCACATTTTTCCACTACACCATCATGCAAACTACGGTATGTACTTGATAAAAATACTATTAAAAAAAAAACCACACACATAATAAATGAACTAACTTTTAAAGCAACCATGCAAAATCTTAATTTGTCAGAAGGCAAAATAGAGAAGGTAACGGCGGTACGGAGAAGGTGTCTACAGTACGTTAAAAATAAAGGTCTTTTTCCAGAGCTGTCTTTCTAGCGTTAGCACTGCTTGTTGGGTGCAGTGCACAATGGCTTTTGTTTAATTTGTCTGAATCAGAATCAATGATTCCATTCTGTTAGAAAAAAAAATCAAATGATTCGGAATGTTCTGAAAAGGTAAATCTGCAAAAATTCCCACAGTCTTTAATGGCGACTTCTGTAGATAAATCTTTTGAAAAGGTTTTTTTCCTAAAAGAATGTGAATGTGACGTGTCATTGGCTAAAGAGCATATTCAAGGGAAAGTAATCTTTTTATATCCTATTTGATAAATGTATGCGTTATTCATATAACATATTCACTAAAAATTGTGATTTCGAAGAAATCCCTTAAATAAAAGCATACAATACAAAAATTAAGAAATAAATAATCACGTAAATAAATGTATATGTACAAATAATGAACAGTTACTTGGAATGCAACCCAATAAATCTATTATATTAATGGAGAAAAAAAGTATTTACATGGGTATTTAAATGAAGAATTCAATGTGAATTTAAAGAGAATTTCAAATTTAAGCTCAAAATAGCCAGACTGCAAAAAATATCTCCAAATCAGCAATACTTTGAGTTTGACTAAACTGTTTTAAAATGTGGAATTCTTTTTAAAATCTCATTTTAGTAAATAACCTGAGAGCTTTTTAGGCCTCAATGTAATATTTTTAATACACTTTTTAAATGATTTAACATTTTGAAAAATATGTAAATATTTTCTAAATATTTTTTTTTAATTTATATAATGATATATTTTTTTTTTTTATCATTTAAAGATACGTTTAAAAGTATATCCAAAAATACAAATTAATTCAGGTCATAATTCATTATGAAAAGGCTATTATTGATGAATTATTTTGACACAATTTTTTTTTCTAGACACTAAGTAGTCCGATCATGTTCAATATTTTTACAATATATGTTTAATATAAAAGCACTCTAGCACATCTAAACATGACCTAATATCTAATAAGGACATTTTCAATAGTATTAAAGTTATACTTTCATTTTGTATATTTCTTATATATTACAACAAAAATGTTTTATTCCGGTGTAGATATTAATTCCTTTTTGTCAGTGAACTCTACATTTTACTCATATTTTACCGAAATCTGTAAACAGGACCAACTATCTCAAACTGACATAAACCACCCATTATGGAACTAGGAAAACATTGTGGAATGGACTCGCTAAACATTAAATTGGTTTAAAAATGGAAAACTGGTAGTTTAAGTTAAACCAGCCAAGCTGTAGCTATAACATAGTTTTCCAAACAAGCATTTTTAAATGAGTTTTTAAATTTATTTTTCAAATGAATTCAACTTAAGGTCAGGACATATAAAACCATGTTAGTCTGCTCACCCCAATTCAATGCCTAGTGGGTACACACAAGATGATGTTTGAATTATGCCGTGTTAACAAGCCTTGGGACAGACTGTTTGGAGACTAAGAATGCAAAGTTAAGCAGATTTAAAGCACACTAACCTGTTTTTGTCCCTTCTGTGGAAGCAATGCCCTGCTCTCTCCAGTACTGACAATTTATACCTGGTATATCTGCTGGAGGAACCTGTATCACAGGTTGGCCAACAAAACAAGGAAATAAACCACATTTTTGTTGGTCCCTTTCAAGAAGCCTACTAACATTGGCTGCAAATTCCGTCTCTAGGGCAAGTGTTTTAATTTAACGAAATGTGTTAAAAAAACAAACTCAATTACACAAAACCAATGTAATCAGGGTAAGTGTGAGGCTTAATCTTATTATAATACAAAATGACAATATTCTGTAAGTAAAATGTAACCACTTATTTGGGGATTTGTATTTCTAAGTATCATAGGTAAGATGGTGGAATAACACTTGGTTATCTGATTAATCTTTAATCCTCGGTAACTCGATTTAGGGTGGAAAATCCCAGGATAATTCCTTCCAGAAGATCCATCGTTATCTGTGTCTGTCTATGCTGAAAACATAGCGTCTCTGTCACAATACCATGGGGTGATGTTTCAAAGTAAAACCAGCGCTATTCTAGCAAAGTGATAAATGTCGGGAGAAATTCTGTTGGTTTCCATGGTGATTACTCTTTATTTTGCACTTTACGCATGTGGCGAAAGTGACCTCGCCACTGGATTTTGGAGGGGCCTGTTTGCCAGCCTCCTGCCCTGCGACTATGGCCCTGGGATGTTTTGCCCTTTGAGGAACTGATTTGGGCATACTGTATTTTATTATGCTGCTGCTGGCCCTTTAAGAACCATCTGGGGACATACTGTGGAGTTACTGGGTGGCCACCATTTCATATATCAGAGGCACATGCTGAGAACAATGGATGAAGCACATGGTGAGAACAATGGATGTCGGTCATTTTAACTCACAGACACTGTTTTGACTTTTCTACATTGTGCATCTCGCCAGTATTTGGTGCACAAAGACATTGTTCAGTAGTTTTAAACTACAGAACAGGGGACACATTTAACAGTAATTATTTTTCATATAGCATGTATATGTCCTGCGGAATCTGCATTAAACCGTATCTTCCAAACTACTGAACGGATCTGGGTGAATTTTGGATATGGGGTTCACCCAGATCCCCCGGTTCCGAGGATACATTTTTATGGGGTTATTGCATGTTTTGGGGTCCCTGTGAAATGTTTTATAATACTGTATTTTCCTGCCTGTGATAATTAAGTTAGTCTGTTGTGTTGAGATAATTGTATCACAGGCAGAGGGGAGGATTTCTGATGTAATGATTGGGAGTGTTAGCTGTGTTGTAATGTGTTGATTGGTTGTTCTTCAAAAACCTGTGGGCACTACTATGTTTGTAGAATGTGAATAAAAGAGGCTGTATGTGCCAGTATAGACAGTTCTACTTCACTCTCAATCTAGAGTCCTGTCTGTTATTGGGGGAATTGCTACATCACTACAAGGCAATGGTATGCTCTGCATACTCCCTTAGCTAATCACTACTAAGCTCTTTTAGCTCTTGGAGCCTGGAGCCTTGTCGTAGGTCCAGGGTGGGTAAGAGACGGCGAGACCCCAACCAAGCTACGCCGGTTTGTGGGGTCTGCAGTGGTTGTGGTGTCTGGCGGAGCGCTTGGAGCCCTCTGGAAGCGCTAGGAGCATCCAATAACGGAGGTACCCAGTCGGGGTGCCAGGCGATCCGTTACAGCGCAATAATAGCAACTCTTGTTGCCTTGATAAGTCTTAGGATGAATGTAATTAATTATATCCTAACGTTAGATGTTACGTGAAGATGTTGGAAGCATCAGCTGAGGAGTAGCTGTGCTAGTGAAAGCTGTTCCTTCTAACAGCCGACAGAACAGCCCTTTTTACAGGTGTAGTTGAGAAAGGTTGTGGTGGTAGGTGACACTATTATAAGGAGAGTAGATAGGGTAATCTGTTGCTTTGATCGTTCCGTCCGGACAGTTTGCTGTTTCCCAGGTGCTCGGGTCAGGCATGTTGCTGACAGAGTGGATTGATTATTGGGAGGGCCTGTCATGGTCCATATTGGTACCAATGACAAAGTCAGAGTAATGTGAAAGGTCTTAAAGAATGAGCTCAGAGAATTCAAATGAAGAAACGGACCACCAAGTTAATATTCTCAGAAATATCATCTGTGCCGCGCTCTACAGCAGAAGATTAGGGAGGTTAATGCGTGACTAAAGTCATGGTGCAGAAAGTAGGGTTGGGGTTTTTAGAGCACTGGGCTGATTTATAGTCGTGATGGATTGCACCTAAACAGATGAGGATCTATAGTGCTGGGGGACAGGAGGGTTAGAAGGTTGGAGGAGATTTTGAACTACTGGTGGGAGTACATAAAAATCTTCAAAATGGAGACAGAATGGAGATGGGCTTTAGCTCAGTACAAGTTGGATGGAAATAGGGGGAGGGCAAGCTCAGAACAGAGGAGGTATGGAATAGTAATAAAAATGTACATAAAGTACAAGTGACTCATGATAATATTAAATGTATGCTTACTAATGCAAGGAGTCTAATTAACAAAATGGAGGAACTAGAGGCAATAGCATACACTAAGAAATATGACTGTCACATATTCATCGACTTATAAAAATGTGGTTAATGTCATTTACTGTCCACACAGGAAAAGTTGTGCCGAGCAGCAACCAAATCCACAGAAGGGTTAATGCTGAGCAGCCATTATGCAAATGGGAACCTGGTAACTGACTTTGCGGTCAAAGGCCGGTTTCAGCCTATCAGATCTAGAGGAGGGGTATTTAGGCCCAGTTCTCATCCTGCTCAGTGCCCTCTCGTGGTTTCCCTTGTGGTTGTCCGAGAGCGTGTTATTGATTCTGGTTATTCTGGTTATTCGACTTTGGCTTCGATTTTTACTTCCCTGTTTTCTGGCATCCCTGACTCCTGGCTTTTCCTTATCGTTGTGTCTCTTTCTGTTTCCCTTGACCTCGGCTATTCCTGACTATTCTTTGGTACGTTAGTCCGGCCATTCTAAGGTCCAGTATACGTTACCTATCAGTCCTCTGTGTTACACAATTCAACATGCTGGATCATTCTGTAATCCTGACATTACGACAGGGCCATAGATCCTGTAGAATTGTGTAAGCACATAGCTGCTTGCGAAAGGAAACTAGAAGAGAATGATCACCGCTTGGATCAATTTGCCCAGGCTTTCAGTATGCTTCATACTTGTACAGCGCATCTGCAACCTGCAGCTGCTCCTACTGTCTCACCTCCGCCTTGTGTACCTCCGCCTATATATACAAGGCACCAACTATCTCTCTATCTCCTCCTCTGCATTTTGATGGTAATTTCCAAGTATGCCGGGGATTCCTTAACCAAATAGAGTTACATTTTGAGGCCTCACCGGGATCTTTTCCCACAGACAGAGCTAAAATTGGTTACCTGATTAATCAATTAAAAGGTAAAGCCTTAGCTTGGGCCAATCCATTATGGGAGAGTAATAGGAGTGTGGCACACGATTACCAGGAGTTTATTACGGAATTTAAAATTACGTTTGAACCATTAGGCAGGGAGGAAGACGCCTCTACTGCCCTGATGCATATCAGACAAGAGAACCGGTCTATCTCGGAGTATGCCATAGAATTTCGTACCCTAGCTTCTGAGGTAGACTGAACTAATAGTGGGTTAATCTCTGCATTTAGAAAGGGACTAACTGAAACTATGCTAGATGAGATTGCCGCCAAAGATTTACCCAAAAAGCTTAATGAATTTATCACTTTTGTCATGCAAATTGATAATAGATTGAGAACAATGGAAGCTACTAGAAACAAGATCAGACACATGAATATGCCTTTAGCACCCCACTTCTCCAAACCTATTGTCCCTGAATTTCCTGTACAGTCCGAACCCGAACCCATGCAGTTGGGGGTCACTAGACTGTCGGAAGCAGAAAGACAATATAGGAGAAAAGAAGGCCTATGTCTATAGAAAAGGACATATGAGAAACAATTGTCCCATATGTCCGGAAAACTACCGCACCTTAAGGGGACAGGTCATAGGTGTAATGGAAACGTCCTATGTAATGGATGAAAATAGGTTTCTCCTTGATATTTCTATTGCCTTTGAAAAGAAGAACTTTTCATGCAAAGCCCTGATGGATTCAGGTGCTGCTGGAAACTTCATCGACATTCAATTTGTTAAAGGTAATACTATACCTATCAAGGAGAGACTATCATCCCTAGCTGTTGAAGCTATTGCTGGTAGACCACTCTCACAACCATTGATTACATGATTATATGAAACCAAGGCGTTTGATACGGTTCCTCAAAATAGGTTAGTGTTCAAACTAAAATAAATTGGTCTAGATGAAAATTCTTCTTCTTGGATAGAACATTGGTTTAAAGATAGAACATAGAGACTCTTGGGATGAAAACATAATTGTGGCGAAAGCCACTGGGGTTTGGATGGGACTACTTGCCAGCCTTTTACACTGTGACTATGGCTCCTTTGATTTATTGTGGTAGAGAGACCCTATTTGTGCCTATTGGGACTAGGAACAATGGTTTTCGAACAGTCAAAGTGAGTTGAAGTGGGTCAAAGAAATTGAAGTAGTCAAAGTGGCCGCCATTCGATATTCGAACACGTGGCAGCAGCCATCTTAAGACGCGAGTGCCATGCGTGGTGTTTGGTCGCCGAGTTCATGGAACTCAAATCGGACACGCAATGGCACGAACACCGCTGAACAGTTACCTTCCATGGTACTTCGGCTATTGGAATGGGATTCAAACGGCGTTCGGTGAATCAAAGCACTCTGTTATGTCACAAGTGGTTTAACCCCTTAAGGACCAAACTTCTGGAATAAAAGGGAATCATGACATGTCACACATGTCATGTGTCCTTAAGGGGTTAAATGTGGAACACAACTGAAGATTATAAATTTCCTTATTTTTATTATAGAGAGTGAAATGAGAATCCTTTAATTAATACGGTTACTGTAGTTTTAAGGCAGTGTGGCTTTTGCAAGTTGTTAGTTGAAGACATAAAGCATTAATAATTGTAATAGTATTTTAGTAGTAGCAGATTTTAGCAAGTAGGTAACAGTTCATTAGCAAAGTAAGAACTCAGAGATAGTATCAAATTGTATACTTAAGATTGTTGGGAGTTGTCCTCCAAAGGAAGCTTAGTTTGAGTCTGCAGGATGGTTAAACATCTAACAGTCCGGTTTCCAGTATTTAGGAAGAGAGCAGGTAAATCCAATACACGGTCCGTGGTCAGAGGGAGATGAGAAGGCAAAAATCCGTTTAAACAGTCCAAGGTTCGGTACATGGTATTCACGGAGAAGAGCTCAGACGGCAATGTGATTGCGGAAGTAACAACCAGAAATAACTAAGCGATTTTGAATCTGGCGCGGTCTCTCTATAAAGCTTGAGAGAGCCGCTTCAGAGAGGGGAGAGGGACGGTTCTGCATACCGGAAATGCCGGAACGGAGCCGAAAAGATAAGTCCTGACACACACAAACAAGGGACACACATTGACTATGTTCATTCACCATTACGTTCGGTAATTCGCACGGTACTTCAACGATTTGAAATAGACCGCCCGAAAAGCCTAATTCTCTGGAACTGTTTTGGGCATGAAACCATGCGTGCGGTCAGTCAAAAAGAGACTTCCAGGAATTTCCTGAACCCCTGCTCTGATCTGCGGGATTTTTGAATATGTTGTTCACCCAGATTAGGGATGTGACTTTTATGGGGATA